TCCTGAGTATTCAATGATTGTCCACCCTGGAGATGGAATGACGACCTTACAGATGAGCGACATCGATGATGTCGATACCCAAAAGCGCATACCAACATCTCTGCTTTGACTCTTCTAGAGATCCCAGCGGTAATCCCTTTCATTTATGCGAGCGGTCACATTCTTTTCGATTCAATCATTTCCTATAGCGAAGACAAGGTTGCATAGTTGCTCTCTGCGAACTTAGCGGCCAGGCCGTGACGAGACAGTCTTTTGGCATTCTCATCTCCTCTAAAACTTTTATCATTTACCCTGCTTCAACTCCGGTATCTAGACAGATCAGAAAACACTTCACTCAAAGTAAGCCTGCGCTCTTCGAAGACCAAGTGAAAGTAACATTACCCACGATTACGCCGCAGTTCCATTCTCAGTCGCGAGGCAAACGCACGACTGGTTCTCCCACTCCTTTCCTCGCCTACAAATTGGGGTGCATCCTCGGCATCGGTCGCCTGGTCTCACTACACGGTTCTACACCCCGCTTCAACCACTACTTCAGCTTGCCAAATAGTAAACATTACAATCCACCTTACTCGTACCAAAATGACAGCCCCATTACGGCCAGAAGAACAGGAGAAGCAGCTCCGGGACAAGTGCTACAAGTAAGTCCCGCACGAACATCGCGACATATAGCTACTGACATACATTAGGCAACTCCGCACAGAGGTCAAGCTCAAACAATGGTGGATCAAGGAGAGTGCGCAACACGAAGCTCGTAAAGCCCAGCTGCAAGCACAAAAAGATAACACCATCAACGAACTGAACAAGTACGCTCAGGTCACTTGCCGTAGCCTCTGCGACAAGATCTTCGAAGTCTGTCCGCGCGAAATACGCGATTACATCTACGCGTACCTCCTGCCCAACTCCCCGGTCGTCCTAGAGCATTGCGACCATCGCGATTGCGATAACAAGCCCTGCGGTAAGGGAAGCGAAACACTGTATTACTTCGTTGAACCCCACAGTCATCTCTTCAAAACCGCATACGTCATTCCAGAGTTCTCCGTAGAGCTGCTCGAAAAGTACTATCGCACATCCACGTTCGACCTACGAGACCAATTTGCAAGGCTGGGCGCCTTCCGGAGCTTGGATAGAGGAAAACTTGGTGTCATACCAGCCAACTACATCCTCAACGTTTCCTTGTGCATACAATGCGACAAGTACGACTTCGACGGGGTAACGGCACCGTTGGCCAGCCTGTCCAGGAACTATTCGCTCAAACCGCGTCGAGCGCTGCTCGCAGAGCTCGAAGCACTATTCGGTTTCAAGGCTGGCACTAAGGTCGATTTACACCTCCTCGTAAACCGTGACCGGTTGTCGAATGCGCACGATGCTGAATACTGGGAATGCGACACCGTCATTCCAGTCATCCTGCCGACGCTGCGTAGGCTAGCTGCTGCTGGTACGAAGGCCATGTTGTGTTTTGATTATTCTGGGTGGGGGGTGACTATTGATCATGGAGACGTCACGATGGAGGAGATCAAGAGCGGTTTGTCGAAGAGGATTGGCAAATGAGCCAGTTTAAACAGTTCCTTATATTGAAGCTGGCAAAAGCTGCTGGCAATGCTAGGCGATGAGGCTGTCTGCTCCTTGCTTCTTTCCTTCCCGTCCTGACGGGTGTGTTTTGCCCTCGAATATATGGGTAGAGCTTTCGAGGAGCTGATGGCTGGCGTAAGCGGAGTATGCTGTCGATCGCAAGTCATGCAGGGTCCAGACCGCATACGCAGGGCGTGAGTACCTGAATAAGCGATCAGCAGCACCCTGATAGACAATAGTACAACTCCTTGGGATGCGAAGTTAAACTCATCGTGATTCATTTCAATCTGAAGCGAACAACAGATTATGTGCATCGTGATGTACGAGATTCCAAGGACAAATGAGATTGGTGGTGTGGGTGCTTGTACATGCGTGCACCTTCGGAAGCGTGCTCTAAGGCAAGTCAGCAATCTCAAGCGAATGCATCTCAAACCAAGGACTGCCCTACTAACATCAATGATAGAGCACTCTCCGAAGAAAACATACGTAAAGCGCGTGTCGCAAAGCTGCAAGAAGAGCTTGCAAACCTAGAGAAAGATCTCGCCAACACCACACCAACAACAAGAGACGCAGTCGAACAAGTCGCTCGGACGGAATGCCAACAGCTTACCAACAACATCATGACCAAATTACCACGTGAGATTCGCGATATGATCTACTTCCACCTCAGCACACGAGACCGCGAGCTCATCGAGCGCGAGCACTTCCGGACGACCCTGGATCCGGTAACGAGGCTCTACTCCTACGACTTCAACAGATGGAAAGCACAGCACTTTCCAGCGCACTACTGGAACACCGATTACGTTGGCCAGCCCTTCTACCGCGAGCTCGTGGAGAACTACTATCGAACAAGCACCTTTCTCTTCGGCGACGACCCAGGAGTAATGAAGCGTTTCCTCACCACCGACGAGATGAAACTAGGCATTCTCCCAAAATCACTAGTCTCCAGCGTCGAAATCGGCCTGAATGCTGTCTCGCATGACCGCGGTTCGTTCCGCGCTTACATGTTCGGTATACCCAAGTCACCGGAGCGCATGCGGGAGGCTCTCGATGGCATCTTCGAACTGAAGCCTGGCGCTAAGATAGTGATTCGTTTCGTGACGGAGGCGAAGACTAAGGAGGAGAGAGATGAGCATTGCAAGGGGGCGATGGCGATGCTGTTTGATGACACGCAGGTGGAGAAGATGAAGATGTATAAGGTTAAGTTTGTGGTGGATGAGGGGCAGGTTTGGGATTTGGCGGAGGCGATGAGGGAGGAGTGGATGGGGATTCATGGGTGAAGCCTTGCTACGAATAGAGAACACCAGTCTGAACCTGCAATCAAATGCTGAGGACGTGAGAGTAATGGGCAGCATGTGAGGGAAAGCTGCCCAAAGAAGGCCGCTAGCGTGTAACTCCTGTCAGCTCCGATTGGCCGAAGCATACGCCATCAGGGCCCGGGGGAAGGAGCACCCCGCCATGGCAGAAAATGTTATCGCGACACCCCTCGGCGCATGTTTCTACGCGTCAAACACTTTCCCAACTTCTTCAAACCTCAATTCCAACCTCGTACTCCATTTAGACGCGTCTCGATTCCATATCGCAAGATGGCTGGCGTTCCTAGCACTTACGATGGTACGCACTTTCCGTCCCGTGCTCGTCGGGCCAAATGCTTACCCTGTATACAGCGCCCGTTCACATTGCCGTCATAGGCGGCACTGGTATCTCTTCCCTACCAGGCTTCACCCTCGCCGCTACACTCGACGTCGACACACCATGGGGCAAACCATCATCACCCGTCTCCATCCTACAACACCCGTCGCCCTCGACCGGCAAGCCTATCCCCGTCGCCTTCATCTCCCGACACGGCCTTCACCACGAACTCGCGCCTCATGAGGTCAAGAACCAGGCCAACATAGCCGCGCTACGACACATCGGTGTGCGCACCATCATTGCCTTCTCCGCCGTCGGATCTCTCCAAGAAGAAGTGCGACCGCGCGACTTTGTCATCCCCGACCAGATCATCGACCGTACAAAGGGCATCCGGCCATTCACCTTCTTTGAGGGAGGCATGGTTGGACACGTCGGCTTTGGCGACCCCTTCGATAAGCAGTTGTCCAAGATCGTCAGGCAGTGCGGACACGCGCTGGAAGGAGACGGCATCACACTTCACGAGAAGGGAGTCATCATCTGCATGGAGGGACCGCAATTCAGCACACGCGCCGAGTCGAACCTATACCGTTCGTGGGGCGGCAGCGTAATCAACATGTCTGCTCTGCCTGAAGCGAAGCTCGCGCGCGAGGCTGAGATCGGATACCAGATGATCTGCATGGCAACAGACTACGATTGCTGGAGGGGTGACGGCTCTGAGGACGTCAACGTGGAGATGGTTATGGCACATATGAAGGCAAACGCCGAGAACGCCAGGCGGTTCGTTGGCGCAGTGCTGAACGAGCTCAGCAAGGAGGAGCACACGGAGCAAGTGCTTGCTAAGCACCTCGACGGACAGATGAGATTCGCAGGCGCCATGACGAAGAAGGAGGGACGCGGATCAGAGGCCGAGAAGAAGCTCCAGTGGCTCTTCCCTGGCTACTTCGACTGAACGCCAAATGCTACTAAGCGCGCCATTGACAAAGGCGCATGACATTTGACTACGATATACTCCGATATTAGTGACGCGAAACCACCTACCCCGATCAAGAATCTATGCATGCGCCCGACGGCTGACCAAGGTTCTGGAGGTAAGACGCAGCCAGAGGCGCCGATTACGGCAGGTCGATAGCAATGGTTACCCCAAAACTCCAAACAGAACTCCATGTTTACATCATGGAAAATATGCATTAGCCGTATCGATAACTATCCGTCGCCAGCAGCCCGTTAGACATCCGCGGGCACTTGTCAAGCTCGATCTCACGATTCTTTCCCTTAGCACCTTCCTTTCTCGTACAAGATCTGCATTCCTACCTGCCGCAATCGCATCGACATTTTCCCAGCCTACACAATGAGCGCTCGAAATGTTTATGATATTGAGAAACGGCTGAGTGAGAAATCCGGGCTTACGGGCTGCTCAAATATTTTGTTCGGGTGACACCGGTGTATTGTGCTGATCAGGTACCAGGGTGTGGCGAGTCAATCAGATGAACAGTACCTGCATGCCAACCATTATCTCGCAACAACGGGCACAGATTGGAGGGTAACACCGCATATCTGTATTTCTTATCATGCAGATCGATACACTTCCAGGATCGAATTTGCATTTGCACCGCGGGGAAGACGCGCGCGCAGCATAATCCCGGTCAGACATGGGTGCACGGCGGCAGTCCTTCTCGGGTCACCACGGGAAGCATGACTATAAGACACATGATATCGTACACAGTAATGAAGCAGCTCTTGCTCGATACCGCATCCACTCGTCACTCTCCTACCGAACGGTAGCATTCGCAACCGTCATCATGGTTTCAGCGTGGTTTCTAACAAAGGTCTTTGTGGCTTTTGCGCCGCTGACGACGACCGTATACGCACAGTACAACGTCACCACACCTCAATTGCCTTTATTGCTGGATGCTACCGCAGATGATTTGGCTGCTGGACTTGAGGCTGGAGACTTTACGAGCTTGGACTTGGTCCAGGTAGGTTCCCGGTTTTCTTGCCAACATGTGTAGGCATGGATCTACCTTGGACAGCATCGCTGACATAATGTAGGCTTATGTGGGACGCATCATCGAGGTTAACAAAACTCTACATGCAGTATTGGAGATCAATCCAGATGCCTGGACGATCGCGAAAGAGTTGGACGAGGAGCGAGCTTGTGGAAAGCTTCGTGGGTAAGTTTTGCTGTAAGAAACTGTATGATCTTTCGCTAACTGAATGCAGCCCTCTCCATGGACTCCCGATTCTTATCAAGGACAACATCGCTACCGCTGACGAAATGAACAATACTGCTGGATCTTGGTCACTGATGGGTGCCAAAGTCCCACGTGATGCGACGGTCGCTGCGAAACTGAGAGAAGCTGGTGCTATCATCCTCGGCAAGGCGAATCTGTCGCAATGGGCTAACTATCGTTCATCGAACTCTTCGAACGGATGGACTGCTCGAGGTGGTCAAACGTATGGCGCGTATTACCCTGGTCAAGACCCAAGTGGCAGCAGTAGCGGTAGCGGTGTCGCTGCCAGTCTCGGTCTTGCCTTTGGAACACTCGGCTCAGAGACGGATGGATCCATTATCTCTCCCAGCCAGCTTAACAATGTTGTCGGCATCAAGCCCACTGTCGGACTTACAAGCAGAGCACTTGTCATCCCGATCTCTGAGCACCAAGACACCGTTGGGCCAATGGCCCGCACAGTCAAAGATGCAGCGTACATTCTCCAAGCCATCTCTGGACCTGACAGTTACGATAACTACACGTCTGCGATTCCCTGGGCGAGCAACGCAACTAATGCCACCAAGCCCGACTACGTTGCTGCATGCACTCTGGATGCGTTGGAAGGAAAGCGAATCGGGATACCGCGCAACGCTATCGGCACGCCGAGTTCCCAATCCGCGCCCATCTATGCTGCCTTCACAGCTGCTCTCGACGTCCTCCGCTCCGCCGGCGCAGTCATCGTCGACAACACCAACTACACCGCCTGGGAACAGTACCTCGAGTCCAACGCAGAAGGCATCGTTCTCGACGGCGACTTCGTCCCCAATCTAGCGCACTACCTCGAGCAACTCACATACAACCCCAACGACGTCCACAGCCTAGAAGACGTCCGTAACTTCACCCAAAACTTCCCCCAGGAGGACTACCCCGACAGAGACACAGCAGACTTTGACAGCTCCATCGCGCAATCCCAAAACTTCTCAAACACCGACATAGAATTCTGGGAAGCCTACCAAGAAGACCTGTACCTCGGCGGTGAAGGCGGTCTCCTCGGCGCACTGTCTACATATAACCTTGACGCCGTCGTTGTTCCTTCGCGCTCTGCGTCCGGTATCTCCGCTATCATTGGCGGACCTATTGTTACTGTTCCGCTCGGTGCGCTGCCGTCTAACACAACGGTTGTCACGAACTCACGCGGTGATTTGAATGCTACGGCACCGAATATTCCCTTTGGAATCTCTTTTGCGGGTGCGCTGTGGAGTGAAGAGAGTCTGATTGGCTTTGCGTATGCGTTTGAGCAGAGGACTATGGTTAGGACGAAGGTTATGCCGTATATTCAGCCTAGTATTGAGATTGAGAATGTGGTGGGTAGTTATTAGGTCTGGGTTGAGATGATTGAGTTGGAGTTGCACTGGGGGCGTATGTTGATCGGTATATGGTCAAGCAAAGCAGTGTGCTGCGGGAGAAGGTTATGCCGTATAACCAGCGTTGTCATGCGACGGGGGGCATAGTCGGTATTCATCACGTCGGACGCGGGTCAATAGGTGTGGACTTGTATGAGGTTTGTAGAGCAGTCGGGAGGATGTGTGTAAGGTCGGTGGGTGGTTGCCACCGATTGTCCGATGCGTATTGTTGCGTCTTACATCATCGCAACCACTATGTGTTGTGATCGCAAGCAAGGTTGTTGAACACCGTGTTGTGGCTTACCCTCCAATTTGGTTTCTATTGGTCCAATAATGCTATTGTTCCATTCGCTGTATTGAAGGTGTGGGACTACATTCGCACTCCTCGGATCGCCAGTGTCAAATTGGCAGATTATAAAGACATCGGCGCTTTCTTTCTCGACGAGAATTTTGCTAGATAAAGCTCGGGATATAATGAACGTGATTCTGATGCCGCTTCAGTGTAGCTGTTTGCACAGTCTCGGCGTTAAGCGGATTTAGCTGATACTGGCTGACAAGACGTGGAGCGTGTGAGGCTTTTGTGGCTTGATGTGAGTCTGGTATACGACGTGAGGTTAGCGTTGTTCCGAATCTGTAACTGGATTTATGTGTAGCTGGGTTGTTGACGTGGACGGGATGAGGTATAAAGATGTACGGAACACAGCGATTGTAAACCACAAAGCGCCTGTCAACTCCTTCTGCCAACTCAGTCAAAGAGATATCGCTCTCTCGCATCACTATAAATTTGAAAGCATCGTACTCGATCTGCAATGTCTTCCCCAACCCAGCAACTAACGCGCATCCGCAAAGTCGCCCTCATCGGCGTAGGCCCCTACACATCCCATCCTCCATCCACCCCACTAACACCCTCAGGGCACCGGACAAGTCGGCTCCCACATCCTCGCCCAACTCCTCGCCACGGGCAAACACCAAGTCACCGCCCTAACCCGACATACCAGCACCGCCACGGTCCCCACCAACCCCAACCTCACCGTCGTGAAGGTCGACTACGACGACGACGCAGCCCTCACCTCCGCCCTCTCCAACCACGACTTCCTCATCATAACCCTCTCCGCCCGCGCCCCACCGACTCTCCACCCCCGCATCGTGTCCTGCGCCGCCGCCGCGAAAATCAAATGGATCATGCCTAACTACTTCGGCTACGGCATCGGCGACCGCGCACTCAGCGGCAAGGCTGACTTACCCGCCAACTTCGAGCGCTACATCCAAGATGTGAAGAACACGCCAGGACCTGATTACACAGCGCTCGTATGCGGCTTCTGGTACGAATTCAGTCTCGCAATGGGAGAACCGTGGTTTGGCTTCCGGATCCGCGATAGGAGCGTGACGATGTACGGGGATGGGATGAAGAAGGTTAATGTGAGTACGTGGGAGGCTTGTGGGAGGGCTGTGGCGGGGCTGTTGTCTCTTCCCGTGCATCGTCAAGATGCCACCGATGGTGTGGCACTGGAGAAGTGGAGGAACGAGGGCGTTTACATCTCCTCTTTCCTGGTTTCCCAACGCGATATCCTGGATAGTTTACACCGGGTGCTCGGGACGCGTGATGCAGATTGGACGATCAGACACGAGGATGTGGAGAAGAGGTTTGGGGATGGGATGAGGGAGTTGGGAGAGGGGAAGATGTTGGGGTTTGCGAAGGCGCTTTATGCGGGGGTTTGGAGGAGTGAGGGGGCTGATTATGAGAGTAATGGGGGTTTGGACAATGGCGCGTTGGGGTTGGAGAGGGAGGATTTGGATGGGGCGACGAAGAGGGCGGTTGAGATGGCGATGGGGACTATGGGGGATGTTGAGGGGCAGTTCAAGTAAAGGGACTTGGTGGGATGTGGGGTTGTGACGTTGTAATTTGAGGAAAGGAAAGAGCGATGATGATATCGCAGAGGGGAAATCGTGTAGCTAAATTCGATGATGTTGTGGAAGGCGCGATGATGTACCGTCGGCCATCATGGTTCATGCTCTAATAATCTGGCTCCTACCCCACCTACATCCTCTCATTAGCATCTGCCTTCCCTCGCTCATTTAAGACAACTTACCAAAATTGATCCTACTCGATACGCCTATCTCCAACGCCCACCCTTCTCTATTTTCCCCTCGCTCACAGGTGAACCAAAAACATTCCATTGCGTGGAGCTTCCGCGCACCTGCCATACCGATTCTTCGTCCTTCTTGTCATACGATTTTCTCTCCTTCCATTCTTTCCACCGCTCGCGCAGCGATCTCTTCTCTTTGTTCTCCGGCTCAGGCTCGGGCTCTGCCATGAGGGCGGCGAGGGTTGATGCCGGGACGCCACTGCCTTTGTGACGCGATTGTGCGAGCGCAGAAGCAGTCTGCGGATTGACGGGTGCTCCAGTTGCGGTTTTGCCATGTTGCGGCGGTGGCTTACGTGAAGGCTTGGGGTCGTAGAATGTTGGTTGGTCTGGGTCTGGACTCGGATTCGTGCTCGATGATGTTGGGGGCGATGCCGCAATCTCCTTCGCCTGCTCGCTTTCCTTAGAATCCATGTCGTGGGCGGCCAACACGCACAATGCCAGCGTGTATAAGGTTTGAGGTACGTGGACTGTTCGCAGGATACAGCAATCTGACGATGCTCAGGCGTGCAGCACAACGTTCACAATACATGTTAGCGAGTTGTAGTCAGCCTTGGCCCACATCTGCAGTCAGCATCGTATCATCGATGCATCCTGCCACCTGCCAGTGCCGAACACCCGAATGCGAAAGACACATATGCGATGATAGGCCGTCATGGGCGCGCCGAGAACCCCGAGTTGCGGCAACAAGTCGACCCAGCATGATCTCAGGCTTCACAAGATATTAGATCCGAAATCAGACACGATAAGAGACTCTACCCAGGGAGGTATGAAGTCGCGTTAATCACGATGTCGCACGAAAGATGGTGTTGATGGCGCGCGACATTGATGACGCCATGTACTCGATTTGTCAAAGCTTCGGTGGCGGAAGCTCTCCGCCACCCCTCCGCATCATCTCCAATCCGCCGACGAACAAATACTCCACCAGAACAAGCACCACCACCTTCCCGTAGAACGAATCCATATGCGCTTCCCTTCCTTCCCCACATTCCTCCGCGCCTTCCACACGGTCACCAACACAACAAGCGCTTTTATCCGATCGAGTCCTGCTAGCACGCTCGGTCGCACTATCTACAACACGCCACAGCGCGCAGTCATTTACCGTTCGATGCCAAATATCCCCTTCTTGGGCGCCCTTTTCGGATCTTCTAGCAGTATGGCGGACAACACGAACTACCCGGTCCAGAAGCCTGAGGGCGAGTGGCAGGCCCAGCTATCGCCAGGTACAACAACACCCGTTCCAATCATTAGCACATAGCCACTAACACCACGACAGAGCAATTCCGCATCCTCCGAAAGAAAGGCACCGAAATGCCCGGCTCCAGCTCACTCGACAAGCACTACCCCGACGCCGGCGTCTACAAGTGCACCGGTTGCGAAGCGCCTCTCTACAAGGCAAATCACAAGTTCGACTCTGGCTGCGGGTGGCCCGCGTTCTGGGATGCCGTACCTGGCGCTGTCGGACAGAAGCCTGACCCCGGTCTTGGCATGATGAGGACGGAGATTGTCTGCAATAACTGCGGGGGTCACTTGGGACATATCTTCAAGGGCGAGCGGTTCGGTAACCCCAAGGATGAGCGACACTGTGTCAACGGCGTGTCGATTAACTTCAGTCCTGATGATAAGAACTAAGGGTTGGAGTTCCGGCGTAGAGGAGAAGAGCGGTGTATATATGGGGGTGTAGTACTAAGTGTATTAGTGACGACGAAATGAGAGACGACGTTGATCAGTGGCTTTGACAAACTCGCGCATGATGTGCAGTGGTTGTTGGTATGGCTTTCGTCATCTTGTGACCGACGCGATTCACCTACTTGAGCCACCGGGCAGTGTGAAGTAGGTATATGATACCGCAGATAGGCCAAATTGATACATACGACCATAGGATCATGAGAATTAGGCTTCCCGTCCGCTCAGCCATATACAAGCATGATACCGGCGGATTAGTAGTTAGGTGGGTGACCACTAGCGAATCCCCGCTGTTGTATGTTTTTGCTCTTTTTTGCCCCAGATCTGAGATGGGGACTCTCGAACTCATCATGCCTCTCGTTTTGCCCTTTTGCTCTTTTTTGCTCTTTTGCGGTGACCTAGCTGGATGAGCAAGCCGATACATCTATAGACTCATCACACGGGTCGTCACGCGACGCTTATAGCAAACGTTGGTTGTTCCTACATATATCGATCTCGTTACCCATCTAGCTGACAACATACAACCCTACGATGACATCTAACAGCGCTAACTACGATAGGACTGATGAAGTCGATGGTTGCGCCCTATGCATGAAAAATTCGACCATCGCATGTATGGGATGCAGCAACATCGGATACTGCTCCGAGAAATGTCAGCAAGAAGACGCGCTGCAGCACAATACCATCTGTGACACTTTCAAGGACTTCCAAACCCGGCCAAGCGAGAAACACTTTCGAGCCCTATATTTCCCTGCGGATGAGCCCAAGCCACGATTCATCTGGCTCCTTATGGACGGAGAACGGCTCACCTGGAAACCCAACGCTACCGATCTAGCGCAGTATGTTCCAGGATCACCTTCGTCAGCGGACTCGTTCATAACCGATCACCGTGTCGTGCAGGATGATCGCAGCGAGAACCGAGACCTCATAAAGGGTTTGTGCATCGAGTATGATCCAGTGTCCCAGGGTCAGTCAGGCAGCCACAAGGGTCCGGCTTCCATGGAGCAGTCAGCCAACATGTGCTTTGCTAGAATGATTGGGCCAGATGTTGGCGGTCTTCGCCGTGGTGGTCAGGTTGGACGTGTTCATGGGTGGAATCCTGAATATGGACTAGAGTCAGGGGACGTGGATTGCACTTCGTTGGGTCCGCTTCTGGCATGGGTCACGGAGGTTACTTTGTATTAGACATCTAGGGAAATGCTGCGGATCTGACTGCGAGGATTGTGTTCGTTCAGGATATATTGGGGCCCATGGATATGTATACTAATAGAATAATGACTGGCATTCACATCCAGCGATAGATCGATATACCCTAGTAGCTTTCAAGCCAGAAAACCTTTCGGCAGGTTTCACCTTAATCATGCACCCTATCTAAGGGAAAATCTAGACAGCTACCTCTACGAAGTAAATCTAAGAAAAAGAAGGCTAACAAGGCTACATTACCTTAAAACCTATTAAAACTTAGGTTTTTATTGTAATGTAGACTTTAGCGTACCTGTTTAGTTTTTTCCTTGTATAAGGTGCATGCATGCAATTCACTAGCTTACCTGCTTTCAGCACAGTAATTCACAGTGCACGCCCAGATAATTGACAGATGCACCCCCCCTCACATACCCCAACAACACCAGCGTGATTCCCTTGGCCAATTATTACTGTGCAACTGTATACGCAACCCATCAACACTGACATCCTTGCAACCCACAATCATGTCCCGCTACCGCCTCAGCAACGTCTTCAACGACCAATACACATACACCTACACGCCACTCACAAACCCAGACCCCGAAGCCGAATGCTTCATCTGCAAAACACCCTACTCCCCACACGACCCTGACGGCTGCCGCGCAATCCAACTCCATCCCTGCGGCCACATCATCGGCCACTCATGCTTCACCGAATGGATCAACCGCGCACCCCAATCATGTCCTTACTGGTCTCACCACCTCCCTCCCACGCTGAAGGCCTCAGCCTTAGACGATAGTCTTGAAGTCAAGTTCCTCCGTTGGTTGGTGCATACCACATGGATAACTCACATAGACCACCACCACGACTTCCACCTTGAGATTCTCACCCCCCTCAAATGGCGCAGACGCGCACTGTGTGCCGTGGAAGCGCTAGCTAAGGGCGCCCTCACAGACGAGGACGTTTACGTGCTAACCAAGGCTTCCTTCCTCACGTTCATGGACGCGGTGTTTCGGCGTGAAATATACGCAAGCAGCCGGGTTTTCGTTGTAGGCCTTGGGGTAGAGCTTATGGGTCGTGCGATACGACTTTACTTCTCGATTGGATCCGACAACGTGCTCTTGGATTTAGTAGGTAGGTTGGTATGGTTAACCATTCTTATAATTTGGGTTTCGATACTGGTATACGCGTGCGCTTATTCTGGGGTTACGTGGTGGGTGTTGAAGTTGGGGGTGCGGCGGCGTGGCGCCACTGAGCGAAGGAAACGTTCTGGCATGCAGGAGTTGTTTTGGAGTGGTTTTCGATTGGGAAAGAAGTCTAGATGAGCAGAAAGTATATATGTACATAGATATAGGTATGAAGGTTACGGGGCTACGTAGATTCAAGATCCCCAGAATTTTGGAAGCGTTCACTGACGCTTGACGTACTCGACCGGTCCGTCGTACTTGTCCTTCCCGATTACGTAGTAGTAACCCATGGCAAAGACAACAAGTACCGCGAACATGACTATGGACCAGTTCATATCGGCCAAAGACGGGTTTGGCACCTCGGGGAAGCAGATCAACACGATAGCCAGGGACAGGTATGTGATAGCGATGATGTTGATGTAAAGGCCCGCCTTGCCGAGGTCGAACTTAGAGGGAAGGAGTGGTTCTCTGAGAACACGTTTCCTGATCATGCAGCCGATGACGATGATGTTGGCAGTGAAGATACCGAGACCGCCTAGCGCGATTACGATGTTGAAGGCGATGGCGGAGCCGATGTTGATCAAACTCAAAAGTGCGGTTCCTACGAGGGTTGCGATGACGGAGTTGACGGGGATGTCCCAGCCTGGTGGTACCTAGGATCGTGATTAGCGAAAGGATCAGGAAGCGGGAAGGATGAACGTACGTAAGCGAACCAGTTGGAGAATGGGAGACCTTGATCACGGGCGAAGGACCAGAGTTGACGGGATGAAGCTGTCACCTGGTTGACCGAGCTGAACATGAGCAATGAGCAAATGAGTACCACCAGAATGTTGGTGGCTACGATAGATCCCGTCGCATTCAACAAGATCTGGATCCATGGCTGACCAAGCGGGGTAGCGAGAAGCGTGTCGAGGTCGTTGCCGAGAGTGGAGAAGACAGTGACGGTCATGATAAAAGCGAGTGAGTAGTTTACGACAGCCGTGGAAACCATAGCTCGAGGACTGACCCACGCAGCATCTTTGACTTCCTCAGCGAGATGGACGGCCAAGTCAGGGTCTCCGAGGGTAAGAATGGGACCAAGAATACCGACGAGAGTCGCGAGACCAGTGTTACCCCAGCCACTGGGGTCTTCGAAGTGGGTCCATGTGGTTGTGACATCTGAGCGCTCGCCCATGACCCAGAGTACGACGACAAAGGCGAAGAATCCGAACACATGGAGGACAAGTCCGAAGCCTTCCAGTAGGGGAAGCTTCCTGACTAAGACGGTATTGCACAAGATCGAGAACGTGGTGATGGCGATGGACAGAAGGGTGCTATGCCAGCCTTGGATAACATAGGACGGCTTGTTCAGCACGATCAGAGCTGTGAACTGATCGGCGACCGCAAAGGCCGTACCAGCCATACCTGTTTGCCATGCAATGACACACAGCCATCCTGGATCGATCGGTCAGTACTGCATACATGCTGCGTTCAACCAGAGATAGCATACCGGTGATGTAGCTGAGTATCTTTTGATATTTCCTAGGTGCCAATTCCGATATCCAATGATATTGCCCACCAGCTGTTGGGGCCCTTTATTCGTGTTAGCGAGACGCATTGATCTCGATTCATCACACAGTCACTTACATGGACACCATCTCTGCCAGTGAAAGCGTGACGAAGAACATCCCGAAGCAGACGACGACAAGTAACCAGATACCACCGGCAGCTCCTCCATTGTAGAGTGAGATTCCGATACCACTAAAGCCATGTCAGTGGTCTTCCTTATTGTCGAGTGCGAGTACCATACATCAATGCGTATTCCCATGTGCTGCCAAGGAGTACAGCGAAACCGAAGATGGTCAAGAACTTGAATTGCCGCTGATCTCTTGTCAGTATATCGGAACCTCTCCGGCGGGCGTTTTCAACATACCCTCAACTCCTGCAGCTTGCCCATGCGATCCATATCGCTCTCATCACTATGCGTACCATACTTTTCACCCACAGCAGTCTGGTTCGCCAGCTCGATACTGTTCGGGGAGTCGATCGCCTCCGAAGGACCCTTCATCATGCTGTCGTTCATTGTCGCGATGCGTGCATGCCACAAGTAGATGGAGGAGTGTAGTCGGTAACCAGTAATCAGAAGAAAAGAAATTCGACAGGGTGGTTCCGATGTCTGCAGCGGGACGGACTACCCCGTTCGAGCGGGTGGCGCTGGGTGGAGCAAACGTGCTCAGCTGTCTCGTTCGCTTGGAGACACTGCAGGGTATCTGGTACGTAATGTTGGGAATCAAAAGATCTGGAGGATCAGATTGGAGACCGGGGGCCTGGCGCATGCCGCGAGCTTGTTCGCGTGTTCGCAGGTTTTCATGTGGCAGTGGGACTCTCTAGACGCACTGGACAGGTTCAGTATGCTCCGCAGCACGTATTGTAGGATCTAGATGCCCTTCGCTTATGCGCAGAGAAATGGCAGTCACAGAAGGACCGGCTTGCGCACCGGCTTGCGCCGCAGAACTGCCGTTAGTCTAGGATCCTGACGGGTCGGGAAGCCCACGCGTGGGATGGCTGCTCGACTGCATTTCTCCTGCGTCGGAGCTTTAACCGGATAGGAACATCGTCTTTGGCGACTGCAAGCATGATGACACAGTGACATGTTGATCTGCAACATCTTCGTGAAACTGCCATGCGTGGAATACAACCAGAGATACGATGCGAAAATCGAAGATGGGGACAGTGGAGTAGTACATGCGAAATGAGAGATTGTTCTGAATGATGGTGTGGGGTGAGTGGCGCCGACGGGACGGCTGGTGGACTTCTGGAGACTTCAGGCCTTTAGCGCAGGGAAAAGCTTGAGTCAGCCCGGGCCGCTGGCCGCGCGTGTCAGGACTCGAGGACAGCATTGCGAGCTAACAATCAGACCACGCCGATGCGACTCACAAATACTTCCACGAGTGAAGCGAGCCGAATACATGTTAACGTGATCTTGTCTACTGCGCGCTGTAAATCTCTGACGCGAGAAGCACCGAGAGTCTTACGACAGACTCGCCCTCTCCCGTACAGCCCCAAATACCCGGTGGGAGCGGGCTGCGGGAATTCCGACCTCTTCGTTTTATGTATGTACAGTAGGGCCGTACTGCATACTTGTTGCTCTCTATATACAGGCACGGCACGGTTCGGTCAGTGCTCGGTCGGTTGCGCACGAGGAAGAATCGATCGGGATTGGATGCTGGGTATCATCATCTCGGCATCCCAGCCCTTGGCGACCAATGCAGGCAAAGTCCCGGAGGCGAGCGGCTATCAGGAGCCAAGGTAGCGACCCAGTATTCGGGATCACTCTTGCGCCTCACGTTCTCGAGTGTGATGGAGGGACATGAGTGACACGGTAAGATCTGTTCTTTGAGGCCCGACATGTTTCCAACAACCAACGGTATCCAGAACCTTATTACTGCATGTCGTGCGCAACATAGCAGTCGTTCATAACGTCTTTTTGCCAGTCTGTTTGGCCTCACGCGACAGATGGCGTACTCATCCAGTTCCTTGCCCCTGGCCAGGGCGTCGGACAACCGCTTTGCCCGCATCACAACCACCGATCAGGGCGCGACGCTTTGGGTCGTCACGCTTCTTTCCATGATTTATGCGATCCTGGTACTCGCAGTTCGTCTTGGGTTCACGAAATGGAGAGCGCATACCTGGGACGACTTTGTCGTCGTAGTAGCACATGTACGCGTCGCGAAGCCCCCCGCTTTTACTGCCTTTATTAGTATGACCCGAAGCTGACGTCAACACAGCTTTTGGCGTTCAGCATGTGGGCCTTCCTGTTTTCAGCGCTGAAGAGTGGTCTCGGAAAGTCGTATAGCATCTTAGAAGATGCAGAGATATCTAAAACACAAGAGGTCAGCCAAAGGTCTCTTTTCTACCTCCGTTTCATCCAACACGCTGATATACGCTGACACTTTGGATGTTGTCAGCTTTATTATACGAGTTGCATCCTGCTATACATTGCACTCGCTTTTTCGAAAGTCTCTATCCTCATGCTCATCCGGTCTGTATTCGCGCGGAACGTCAAAGTCTCCATACTAGCGATTGGCACCGGCGTCGTCGTAGTGGTGTTGGGCCTGATCGGAGCCATTGCAACCACGACCGAGTGTTCAGTTGATACCGTCATACCGAAGCCTGGGGACGAGTATTGCGTCGATTTAGTAAGTCTAACCTCCGTCTGCTTCGAAAGGCAGTATCAGCTCGCATGAGTGGTACCTCATATCTGGTGCCATCCCTGTCAATGTCCTCTTGTCAGATCCACACATGTTTCTGCACAAACACTGACTTGTCAGATTCCCTGGCTCAAAGCAATTACTGTCGGTGACATGATCACCGAGGTAATTATCATGGCCTTGCCGATAATAGGCTTCCACTCGTCTCTCATGTCGATCAAAAGTAAATTCATCGTTGTGATGGCCTTCTTCACGAGGATACCGTACGTATGAACCCCGGATAGAGCTGGCAACGACACTTACACCTTTTAGAAACGTTGTCTTCGCTCTTATGCACTTCCTCGCGTATGCCAAGTTCGTAGGGAGCCGTGAATCAGCCATTCGCATCGTCCCGACCGTCGCCTGGCAAAGCGTTCTTCTTTCTTTCAACCTCATATCCGCAACAACTCCACTCCTCAAAGGCTTCACCCAAGGATTCATGACACAAGGAGTATCCCTAGGATACTTACGTGAGGGAACAACAGGCGGAGGTAGTGGAATGTCAGGCGGCAGTTATGAGCTCAAGTCCCTCACGAAGAGTACTCGATCGAAGTCGAAGTTCTCGTCGTTGAAGCTGACGCCGTCGGATGCATACGCCACCACAACAGTCGAGGGGAACTCCGAAGAAGATACTCTCCCACCCTCAAGACTAGACCGCTTAAGGGGTCAGGAGAGCTCCAGGAAATCGACCCTCCCACCCTCAAGGATGGACTGCATGAGAGGTCAGCGAGCGGAGCGTGCATCTATTGCTAGTCAAGAGTCGCAAAAGATCATGATCAAACAAGAATGGCAGATTTCGGCGGCATAGACCGTAGGAGCATCTTTTCTGAGCATGTGGTGTTGTATGCCATGGGCTTGTACCGTAGCGTCCGTCCCAACTTATATGCAAGTGCCAAATTCGTTCTTCCCTCGCGCGACAAGGAACTAGCGATGCGCTTACCTAAGCCGCCGGGATTACCCCGCCAAGTGGCGACGCAACATTAAACTCCGACATCTCCAGGCAGACGACCACCCACATCATCTCTTCACCAATGAGATGGCAGCACTAATCTTTGGGACGGCACATTTCTGGTTCCGGGCGCTAACAACGGTCTTGAGATAGCGATGATGGCGTACCCATTCTTCGTCGCTCCCCAATTTGCTTCTTCGCTACAGAGCGACCGTCACTTACACGCCCTCCTTTCTCATGAGACCTAGTCACGGAAAGGAACATGCTGAACCTCTACCATCAAGCGTTCGCGCGAATGCAATAGCACCCGACGATGGGGATGAGCTCACGAAAAAGAGGATAGGGTCGCGTGACCTGCATATCGACACCCAGGCAAACACCACATCTTCCGATACCGACGACGTCGAACAAGACAAGCCTACGAGCCAACCAGTATCATGGAGCGAATTGCCTCGCAAAGACCAGCTCTTCGTCCTGATGCTTGCTCGTCTTTCCGAGCCTTTGACTCAGACCTCGCTAGGCGCATATCTCTACTACCAGCTCCAATCCTTCGATCCGTCACTACCAGAGTCGACCATCTCGTACCAAGCTGGCATCATCGGCGCAGCATTTCCGGCCACTCAATTCATGACTGCCATGCTATGGGGTCGATTCTCAGATGCAGAGTACGGCGGCCGAAAGAGAACGATATATCTTGGGCTGCTTGGCACAATGCTTAGCATCATTGGCTTTGGCTTCTCGCGCAGTTTCGCCATGGCAGTGGCCTTTAGATGTCTTGGTGGTATACTGAACGGCAATGTCGGCGTGATGAGGACTATGATCAGTGAGATCATCAAGGAGAAGAAGTACCAGAGTAGAGCCTTCTTGATCTTGCCTATGATCTTCAACGTCGGCGTCTTGGTCGGACCTATAATGGGTGAGTATCATCAGGCTATCTACATAGAAGAACGTACTGACAACAACAGGTGGTGTGCTAGCAGATCCCTTTGCCAGCTACCCTTCTCTATTCGGGTCTAACTCCACTTTCGGTGGTAAAGACGGCGTACAGTGGATGAAGCGATACCCTTACGCCCTACCCAATCTCACGAGCGCCGTGTTCCTATGCCTATCGTCTTTTGCCGTTCTCTTCTTCCTTGAAGAGACAGGTGAACTTTGCAAACACAGGCCCGACCCAGGTCTCCGCGTTGGCCGATGGATACGTCGGACGATCTTTCGCCAGAACATCGCATCTGAAGATGGGTACAGCGCTGTACCGGAGGATGACTTTGAGCTACAACCCACACCAACATCGGTGCATGCACCATCATCTGCTAGTCTTGACAAGCCGAGGACTATCGTTAGACAGCAGCTACCCTTCCGTCGTATCTGGACTCGCAACCTCGTCACAACGCTCTGTGCGCACGGCGTTCTTGCTATGCATGTAGGCACCTTCAACGGCCTCTGGACTATCCATCTGTCCACGCCTCGATTCGACCCTAGTCACCCATATCCTCCTGGTTTCACGCCTCACGGCCTGTTCTTTACCGGCGGTCTCGCTATGCCTCCAGCGCGTATCGGTATAGCACTTGCTATCATCGGTGTCATCGGCATACCTTTGCAACTCTTCGTCTACCCACGAGTTGCGCATCGTCTAGGCACAGTGGGTTGCTATCGTATCTTCCTCGCTCTCTTTCCCGTGATGTACACAACAGCTCCGTTCTTGAGTCTGGTTCCCAGCTGGACGTCCCCGCCTGATGGTGTCAGCGGACCTTGGATATGGATCGCCATCACATGCGCTTTGTTCATACAAGTCCTCGCTCGCACATTCGCCTTGCCGTGTACGGCTATTCTCATCAACAACGTTAGCCCGCATCCATCGGTCTTGGGTACTGTGCATGGTATCGGCCAGTCGGTATCCAGTCTTACCCGCACCGTGGGGCCAATACTCTTCTCCTGGATCTTCGGCAGGGGGCTGGATATGGGCATGATTGGACTGGCTTGGTGGTGTATGGCTGCTGTAGCTATCGCTGGATGGGTGCTTGCACAGGGCGTGAAAGAAGGGAATGGGCATGAGATACTGCTTGATGGGGAGAAGGAAGAATTTGACTGAGAATGTAGACGTTGATACATCTAGAAATCTCATTTCTGATGCATGATTCGATCACCACTTGGCAGCTACTATCTCCTCAAGACTCCTATTTACTACTACCTATCATGCCTACGTCGTCTTTCACAGGCTGTTGCTCACAACGCACAGCCGCCTTGTATCCTCCTTAGTCCCTCATCAGCAGCATCTCTAGTGCACATCATGCTCTCGTAAACATCTCAGTTCACCATCGCTAATTTCTGCGAGACTTCCCCCACCATCATAGTCCTTGAGCTCAAGCCGCCACCTCCACCCCAAACCCCCCATTAACCCCCTCCTCATCAGCAAACAACGCAAACACCTTCTCAATCCTCTCCTTCGTATCCTTCGCCACCCCCTCCACCTCACCCCCCAAAACCTCCATAAAAACATTCAGTTTCCCCCTCCAATCCGCCACATCATCGCTCTCAAAGTCAATGTCGGGATTAAACCACTTCGCCTCCGCGGCGTCGATGACCCACTTCAGCGACCTGTTAAGATAGACGAGGTGGGAGCCTCGAACTTCCTTGTTGGATTGCAGATGGGTTTGAAGAGAGACCATTTCGGAGGCGAAGAAGGTCTTGAAATGGGGGTTGCAGAAGGCGGAGACGAGGGTGGAGGAGGAGGTTATTTTTGAAGGGGAGAAAGAACCCATGCCTAGTTCGACGTCGGGTTTGGATGCGGATTTGGGGGGTAGTTGGGGAGGGGTGGGGCGTGGTTTTGAGGGGAGTTTGGCTATCATTGTCGCCTTTTCGGTTGGTAGGGGTTTGGATGGTAAGGAGCCTAAGCCTGGGAATAGGGGTGGGTTGACCTTGGCGATGGGGGCCGTGGTCACGGGCTGTGGCGGCTGTGAGGATGGTGGTGTGGGTATGGGAGGTGTGGGCGCGGCGGCGACATGGCTTTCACACTCGTCGGAAGCATCGATCATGTCGATCTCTGGAGAGGACATACCGCTGTTGCCCGCGCTTGAGCTGCTTGTAGCAGCACTGAAGGACGTCGTGCTGGGCTGTGACACCATCGAACTGGCGAGCGCACTCGCACTGAAGGTCGACGCGGTACCCCAAGACGCAGCCCAGCTTCCAGATGTATCACTACTTGGAGACGACGAGGGCGACGACGCGGCAGAGGTAGGCGGACTACCAAACACCCCACCGCTCACTTCGAACGCGGCCAGTTGGTCCATAGTATCGTATTCACACTCCATCTCGTCTTCCTCCACATTCCTCGACTTCTCTTGTTGCTGCTCCACAAAGCCATGTGCTATGGACCGCCATGTGGACTTGTGTCGCGCGAAGCGAACATCGAAGGGTTTGTGCATCGAGCTTGAGCCGGTGAGGGGAGGGGGTTGGATGTCTATTCGGCGAGGTGTCTTGTCCCGCTTTTTTGCTGTTCGTACTGCCGGATGTGGCTCGCGATCGAGATGGAGGTTTCGGTGAGTTATGTGTGTCTTGGAGATGCGGGAGTTGAGGGTGCGGGAGATGGCGTTGGTGATGCGCTTGTGGGCCATATTGGCGGTATGTGGTGATGTAAATATCTTGCTTGTGGATAGAACAAGGGAGATAGCAGAGTGATGTGATGGGTGTTCGCAAAAGATTAGGTATAGATACGATCGTGCTTGCGAGTAGAGGACAGCAAGTCTGTCCAGCTGAGGCTGACGCGAGATGAGAATGCGACGGTGACTGAGGATCGCTAGTGTGGGTCCCTAGCTCCCTCAATACTGCGTGACCAGCGGCAGCGAGGACTTGCAAAAGTCGAAGTGAATGGAAGTGAAAGAGGGCAAAAGCTCATGAACAGAGTGGCGGGCGTCACGAGCATACGCCTTGTCACTGAATCAACAACTGAGGGAGCGTTACACACTGTAAACAACGATTACTATGTCTTAGAACATATACAATACGTGTTGAGAGAAACTGACATAGCGAGGACTTTGTGGAAGTGCCTCTTCAAATCGACTTTGCGGACCATATGATACATTCAACTGAACTCTACTACGCGTTTGGGTTATTTATGCATTCATACTATCGGAAGACTATCTATCTACCTCCACTCCCCCACCAATCCAAATGACGGAGACTCACCCTTGAGCCCTTCTCTCAGACACCAACCACATACTACCGCACTATACTTACCTTTATACCTACCTCACACCGACACTGACCTCTAACCAGCATGACCAAACCTCTTCCTCGGATCGTAACGCTCAATCTCTCCACGAGCAGTCCGGCTCGCCTTCGGTTTCGCTCTCGATTTTGTCACCTTGTCATCCTCCACCTTTTTCTCTGGCTTCTTTGGCTCTGCTTCTGCTATGCTCTCCTTCGTAGTAGCTGAATGCTCGTGCGGCCGACTCTCGGTTCTACCCGTGGAACGTGCTGCAAACATCTTTTCTCGGCGTCGTGCCTCCACTTCTCGTGCGAGTGCATATCGATCCACCGATGCAGCTGGCTCAGCCTGTTTGCTTCCCACTTTGGGGCGTGCGACGCTGACCTCTTGTTGTGATTCGTCGCGACGGCGGCGGCGGCGCTGCTTGTCCCTTTCCTCTTCTCGGCGACGAGACTCTTCCTCTTGAGCTCGCTTCTTCTCTTCGATCTCCAATCTCCGTTCGTTTTTTGCTTCACGCGCTCGTTGCATCTCGGCTTCCTCTTGTTGACGACGCTTTGCCACCTTTTCGTTGGTGATCTGTTCCGCTCGCCGTATCTCGGTTTCTTCCTGTTGACGATGCTTCTCTCGCTTTTCGTCGGTAATTTGCTTCGCTCGCTCCATTCGCCTGGCGTCTTCCTTCTTGCGTGCAAGGACTGTCTCGTCCGAGTCACTTGAGCGTTGTGCTTGCTTCTCCGTTTCTTTCTGATTTGTTGCGTCAATCTTAGCAAGACCATCTGTTGGGCCTGCCTGGCGCGGCTGCGACTCTGTCATGTGGAGTCGGCGCCTCTCTTTGTATGAGCTCTCAGACGGTTGTCTGGCGCTGCTTCTTGCTCTAAAATCATTTCCATCGCGTTCGGCAACTGGAGATCGGCTTCGCCGTCTGGGCTCCCGATCTCTTCGTGAACTGCGGGAGGGGCGATCATCCTCGAAGTGATGTTGGCCTTCGCGGGGTCGACTTGGAGAGATAGACCGACCACAGTGTCGTTTCGCCTCCCCAGGAGCTTCGTTGCGTTGTGCGCATTCGATACTGGCAGTCGACGCGTCATTGTGCGCGACACTGCCATCTTTGTCTTGTACAAAACGGCCTGTCTTAGTATCCGTTCTGACAGGGGGAGGATCGGTGTGAGTGGCTGACGACTTGAAGCGCTTTAGCGGTCTGGTAATTACTTCAGGCTCGCATTGGTCGACAGACTTTCTCTTCTTGCTTATATTAGAAGGCGATCGAGATAACGTGACTGAGTTTGTGTCATTCGACATTGTGGCGTCGTGAACAATGTACTCATCCGCAAATCTCTCGTCGCCAAACACCATTACGGTCCCCTCATTGCTTCCAATGACGGCAGACCCCTCTTTTTGTCCCTCCGTAGAGTCCCGCTCGCTTGTCTCCGAGCTCCTTCTCTTCTGTTGCTTTTGTTCCTGACCACTATCCCTGTCCGCGTCTTGCTTTCTGATTTCTTTGGGGATGAGTTGAACGTAGCCGTAATCTTCAATGGACGGTGGATCGGACTTCTCACTCGGTATGTAAGGTTCGACAGTTCGAATGCGCTGAGGAGTGCTCCCATTGGCATTGGCGTCGTGTTGTTTGAGTGAGGGCGGCGTTGGTGGTGGCGTAAGACTTGAAGCTGCGCTGAAGGTGTACTCCCTTGCTTTCACGTCAACCCCAACCTCTGTCTCTGGAGTCCCACTATTCGAGAGTTGCGTGGGATGGGTGATAGTGGAGCGCGGCTCGATCTCTTCGCCGTAGATGTTGGGTAGGGAAAGGCCGTCAACATTCGCGTTGGCCGCGTTGCCTTGGTGATCAAACTGAACACTGGTGTCGAGCTGCTCTGAGTGTACGATGTAGTCGTCTCTTGTTTCCGACCAGACCTTGTATCCTGCCGACAGAGCTGCGTCGCGCTGTTTGTTGACTAACAGCGATGCCTTGACCTTTGCTTTTAGAAGATCCTTCTTGCATTGCGCTACATCCTTGGTCTGAAACGATGAGGTGACATAGTTTGCACGCCTATTGGAAACGTCTGGAGCGGGGAATGGCGCGCTCTGAACGACGTCGTGCGCTGATGGTCCCGGCTTGTAGCGACCAAGTGCGGCAGATCCAATTTTGCTGACGAGCTCCTGGTGTGTAGGCTCGCGATCGTAGATCTTGCGGAAACCATCGGCATTGCTTGGTGGAAATGTTTGTATACCAGCACTGCGGTACAAGACGCGTCCTTGAGTAGCTACCTTGGCTGTCGACGGGACCGTCGCATGTTCCGACGGCCGAGACTCGCCCTGTTTAATCGATGTAGCAGCACTAGGAAGCCCGCTTCCTGGTAGAGTAGCTGCGCTGGTAAACGTGTCGTAGGGAGTTGTCTCGGCTGCGACGGCGCCGATATCAGAAGTGGTGTTGATATGTTCCAGAACCTGCTGCAGGCGTGCGTCGGCGGCGGGTGCTCGTTCAGTCATGACTGGTGATGTGGATACCGCGGACACGTGAAGATAGTTGGTCTGCGGACGTTGACAAGTGATGTCGCAATATGTGGTAATGCAAGTCGGTGGAAGGTGCAAACGTAGGATCAGGGTCCAGCTGGACAATAGCAGCTAGCGCGGAACCAAGTCGAAAATTGCGTGCGTCAAACACCTCGTGAATCCGACGTCTCAATAAAAGTGAATACATGTTTCCCGAATAAGAATGTGTCTGAACCCTTACCCCCTCCATTGTTACATTGTTTCGATGACATTATGTGAATAATTCCTCGTCCAAATTGGCGTCCAGATCCGCGAAGACAGATCAAGACGTATACTTTCCCGCACATTATCCCAGCTCCTATCGTAGGATGTTTGCGATCATGGGTACAGGATTATACTCAAGTAATCGCTCCAGTACGGTGCATTGGTGGTGAGATGGCTCTTTCGATATCAACGTCCTCATCACACAGCCACCTCGTGAACTTTGTAGGACTGAAGTCGCCAGTGTGTGCCTCTTCCGAGACCTCTCCGACGTTGAAGTCTTGCGAATGCATCATGCGCAGCGCGGGTCATACCACCCAGGGAACGATCTGGTATGTGTACTCTGCGTTGAACGGCCGCGGTGGGGAGAGGCAAATGAAACCGATGAGGGTTAAAGGATGTTAGAAGGTCCTGGGGTTATGAAGTGCTTGTGCTCCATTGCTTTGTTTTCTTTCGTTTTTGTTCCCACCCTCGTGTTTGAGAGACACACAGTGTATTGGGTGAGTACGTGTTCCTGCTCTGGCACTCACGTAAAGTTGCCGTGATTAGTTATGGCAACACAGATCGCCGTTACCGTCAAGCTGCCAATGGTCGGAGGGAAACACTTCTGCTTTGGTAAGCGGAGTCTGAATTTTGACGATTTGTGCATCCGTTGAAAGATTGAAGCTTCCATTGGACCGAGAGTCGCTTCCCCGTCTCTGCGGGGTGGGTATCGATCTCAATGTAGCATGACTTGCGAGATGCACGTATGCTGCTTGGCCAAAAGACGCGTAGGCGTGTCGTAATTCCAGGGCAATCGAAGATGCCAAGTTGGTGAACCGTTGACAAGCCTCGATCGCAAGGCGACTAGCAAGCGACGTTAGCTATAGCGCTGAGCTTGGAAATGTCGATGAGCTGCGGTCATCACTCGGTCGGCTGTGCTGCGGGCCGTGGTGAAACGCTCCTGGGGTGCATTGCGCAAGCATCGTCAACATGCCACAAGCCTACTTGGCGTCATAGATACAGAGGATCGACTCGTACGAACGTCCAATGGCAGGTGGGATGGTGAAGGGTACGATATACGAATGAGCGAGTGAAAATGAGAGCAGCACGTGGATGCGCGAAGAACGGTTCGCGCGAGGCTGACTTGACCAAGAATAGCGGATAAGCGGGGCAGATCAGCGTCATTGGGCAGCGGCTCCCGGCGCAGTTGCAGGGATGTGCGTACAGCCTCATGGGAGACGCGTATCCGGTCGACCAGCCATAACATGTCCACGCCGCCGCCGCACATCCACTAACCTGCCAGCTCATCGTTCGTTCCAGGCACCTGGTCGCATCACAAACCACACGCAGTATATAGACGGGTATAACATGACGCAATGTTAGACGAGAACCTCCCCAGTACGTGTTCCCAGCTTCCCGGGCCAATCGCCATATCCATAGTGGTAGTGGTACTAACCACTGTCTAGCCTTCTTTCTCAAGGCCTCGACCGACAAGCTCAAGCACCACGAATCCTTCTACTTCACCCAGAACGGCTCCGAGCCCGAGGCGCAATATGCCCTCCACCACGTCGACCCAGCCTCCCACGAGGCGAAGAACACATACGCCGTAGCCTTGTTCGACTCGCGCAACCCCGAGGTGCTATACGGCGAAGTGCTTGCGAAGCCGGGATGGTCGCACCCGACATTGTCCCAGGAGGAGATTCGCAGGAATGGCGGAGTGCCGCCCCCGCCCCAGCCCATCTACCCCACCGAATTCGCTATCCAACTCTACAACCCCGACTCGCGCGTTGTCGTTAAGCACTCGACAGCGAAGTGGAGCAGCACCGTTAGCTGGGAGTTCAGCATACCCCAGGTCACCTTCAGAACCCCGAGCAACTCAACTCTCGATCGTAGCCTTGCGGACCCGGGCAGCGATGCGAACACGCCCAAAGTCAACTTTGCCTGGCGAAAGGAGGGCAGGCTGGGCAAAGACATGACATGCTACATGACGGGCAAATCGACCGATCCCACTGGCAAGAAGGTCAAGAAGAGCAAGGAACCGGATATCGCCGTTGCCCTGTTCTCTGGCCTGAAGGAGCTTACAATCATGGAGTCCAACCTCTACCGCGTCGAGATTGAGGACTACAAGGGGCTGGAGGTAGCTTTGCTCATCGGGGCCGCTGTGATACGCGATCTATTTTTCAGCGATCTGAACGACCAGTTCCACATCAACGCCAACATTCGAAAGAATAGCGCTGGTGTGCGCGCGAGGAAGGGCTCATCGCCGCTCGAGGGCCCGAATATCACAGCACCAGTTATGACACCACAGCCTCCTCCACCGCCAGCCTACACCCCTTCATCGTCGCAATACCCACCCGAGAAGGTTGCCCTTCAGCCTGCTGGCGGTGCTGGCGCGAACGCACAAGTACCTCCACCGTCATACACCAGCAACAACAATGCCGCCAAGCGCTCTTCACTTCCACCGCTAGCTACCAACCAGGCCCGACCCAGCCAGCCTCCACAACCCGTCCAACCTCAGCGACCTGTTCAACAGCAGCGCCCGCCTCAACCGCAGCGCCCAACACAACAACGCCAGCCGGGGCCAAGGTTAGATCCACGAGCACAATGGGAATTGGACGCTGAGACTGCGCGATTGAAGGCACAAGTGGAGGCCGAGGCACGTGAGCAGAAGCGACAAGAAGAAGCAAACCGGAAAGCTCGGCGCAGACAGGAGGAAGAACAAGAGCGCAAAACGCTGCAGTTCCTTGAGCAGGAGCGAAAGCAGAAGGAACGCGAAGAGAAAGAGCGACGCCGGAAGCAAGCCGAGATCGACAAGGAGACAGAACGCTTGAAGAAGCAGTTCGGAGACCAGTCCAACCTCCTCCAGCGCCCATCCCCACAGCCCCAGCGACACTCCTCACCCCTCGTACAGGGCGGATGGCAAAACCAGCGACCGAGTCCCGCACCCCACCCTGCACCCGTTCCCGCACAACCCCCGCGCATGCAGCAACCCCAAGGTGTGTACCTGCAAGCACCTGTACAACATCGGCCCGCAGCTAGTCAGAGCAGCTTCTTCAGCAATGGACTACCCAAGCCGGTTGCCAAGGCTAAGAAGAGCTTCTGGGGCCTGAGAACACAGAGTGAGAGCAATGCCGAGAAGATCAAGAAGAAGAAAAGTAGTATGTTTTGATGAATGGTTTTTTTGGCGCTGGGGTCATGGCATTGGGTATGGCATTGGGTATGGCATTGGGTATGGAGTTTTTGATTCGTGAGTCTTTATGATACCAGACCTTGCAATACAGTCATGTTCATATTCAAGCTTCTTGTTGCTTGTGCGTTCGTGTTGATCTGCGGTACCTAGATGCCATGCAATAATTTGGGCTTTACCTCATTGGTGCTAGTGTTCCCGCGACTTCTACACTCATCTTGGAACCACCCCACGCCACGTCCAACACCAGCTTCCCGTCTCTCCAATCTTACATCAATTACATTCACCTAAAGTTCAGCCATGAAGGTGCCTAAACCCGTGCCATCATCTCATCTCCTCATCCCTTCAGCTCGACGTTGCCCGCTCCTCCGCGAAGCGAGCAAACCTTGCCAAGACATAAACTTGCTCACTTGAGCACATTATCCTGGGGTCCGTATGCAGGGTCGCAGCTATAGCTCGCGCCACAACATGTTCGCTACAACCAGCTACAATCATGAGTGGATGCGTGCACACCGGTTCCAGACTCCTCGACCAAGAATATCACGTCTGATTGGATCTTACATCTTTCCCAATGCCGTGGTCGCGGTTAGGCGAGGAAAGGCTTCTTCGTGCTTGCTTGGCAGCGGAACAGAGGCATCTGATTTCCGCTAGCACGACAGGCATGTAGGTAGAATAGCATGCGGAGACGAGGGAGAGGAAGGTGTGTTGGAGGTTGGGGTGGGTATAAAGGGTTTGGCAGCTGCATGTCAGATGCTGTGTGCTGATTTAGAGAACGGTTCTCTTTTCCCATCCGAAGTCTTTTGGCTTTCGCATCTCCTCGTCTTTACATCTATAACTGAACTTTATCCCAGCATTACCTTCTAGCTGTTACTTCAATCATGTTGTCCACCACCCTCCTCACAGTCGCCGCCTTCGCCGCGGGCGCAAACGCTCACTTCCGCCTTCTCGCACCCACATGGCGCGGTAGCTCTTTTGAAGAACCAGCGAGCCAATGGATCTACCCATGCGCCAATGTGAACGAAACAACTGACATGGCGAACCGTACGCATCCCATTCCTATTTCTTTCCCCCAACATCCTGCCTACCCATCCCAAACCCCTCCCATACCTTCTTATCCCCCAATCTCCGCCTTTCAACCCACTAACCCCCCCTTAGGAACTCTCTGGCCCCCCACCGGCGGCTCCACGATAATAAACGGATCCCACACCTCAGCCCTCACCTCCGTGAACCTAGCCCTCGGCAGCAACGCCACGAACTTCAACATTACCTTGCTGGAAATGTTCAACCAAACCGGCGCAGGCTTGTTCTGCATGAAGGAAACCGGGAAAGCGAATCTAGAAGAAGGGTTTAAAGCGGCGGGGTATAGTGGACTGGATGATGAGCGGATTAATGGGTTGATGGCTACCGTGCAGGTTATTCAGTTGGGGCATAGTGGGAGTGCTTTGTATAATGTGAGTTCTGGTCTTCTGTTGTTGCAGGGAGGAGAGAGTGTGGGGAGGTGGTGGAGATGATGGCAGGGGAGAAGCTAACAGGTGACAGTGCGCGGATATCATGTTCAACGCTACGGCGGAGTTGCTGTCGGATGATCAGTGCCAGAATGGGACGGATGTTAGTGGTGTGGCGATTGCGAATGTGGGTTCTGCGACGGAAGAAGGGGGGGATGCGGCGGCGTCGCCTGCGCCGACTGGTGCGGCGGGGAGACTTAGTCCTGTTGTGGGAAGCGGGATGGTTGCGGCGGTTTTGGCTTGGGCGTTGTTGTAGGAGGTTGGGAGAGATGCGGCTGTGGAGTGTGGATGGGCGGATGATGATACCTACGACCGTGTTGTTAACGCGCACTACGCTTGTTCTCCAGGTGCATTTAATGTCTTTTTCTTCATGAGCCCCCGTCTCCATTCTCATCTTCTTCCTCATTCTCCCCCACCTCTTCACCTTCCTCATCTGGTAGTTCGTACTCTTGCGGCACTTCATCTTGCGCCGGTGTCTCAGGCTGTTCTTCCTCCGAGCTAGATTCACCCTCTGTCATACCCGGATTACCGTCACGTGTCGATCTTTCGCATTGTGTACATGACTCGGCGTTCTCTTCGTTGGGCCAGCGACACACTTCACATGTCCATTGGGGCATCTTGGTTATGATGCTGGGGTGGAATATGGTGGAAGTATGTAAGACGTTGTAGGTGACTGCTAGAGTGCACGCGTGTAGGTGTCATGGTGAAGCGGTCCATGGAAGGACGCTGTTCACTTTGCTTGCACAATGCTCATTGTTAGGGATGCGTGTGTGGGTACTGCGTGAATGCTTTGGCATTGTTAGCGCTGCACAAAGGGTTTGAGGGTATGCGCGCGTCAATGGAATGGAATGACATGGACGCGAGCGTGAACTCTAAAGTATGCTGTCGTGTGGTCATGCACGCTGTTGGCATGGTGAAGGCTGTCTCTTCAACCTTTCTAACAACCAACGGGGTTGAAGTGCGCAATCACTGGCCTCAACGATTGTGTGAAATGACGATGAGAGAGATGGTCCTGTTTGCTCGTGTGGAATGAGAATGAACATTATCGGACCAGCGGCGGTTCCAGTAGCAACCCGGAGAAGTGAAACTAAATCATCTGATATCTGTGAATGCATCAGTTGCACTCATCACGTCACCCCGTTTACTTCCATCTCTTCTTCTTAAAACCTAAGCAGCCTTGACAACTCTGCACTCTCTACCATATAGCGGTACAACCCACCACTGAGCCTCAACATCTGCCCTTTCAACACATATCAACATAATTGTGAGCACGTAATGTCGACGCCTGATGTTCCAGTCTCAAGTGGCACGAACGCATACGTAGTACCGTCATACATACCAAAAGGCGCACCAAGAGGCCCAGCTGCCATGCGAGTGTCTCGTCCAACTCAAGACGAAGCCCATGATGAGATCGACGACTGGTTAGAGTCTGGACTACAGTCGTATACAGAAGAAGGCCAGCGCATGCGTGATGCTGCGAACGGCGTCCATCTGACAAAACGTTCGACCGTGCTACCCAGCGCTACCGATCTGGGTACTAGACGTGAAGAGCCCGAACAAGCTTCACCGCCTCCTGCTTACCCTGAAGAGACTGCCCCAGCGCTCGATGAAGATAACGCGATCGTTCCCGCCCGCTCACATGAGTCAAGGCAGTTTGGTGGAATCGTCCGTCACATCGCCGTCAGCGGTGACTACAACAACATCCACTTGAACACCGGTACCGGGCAGCAAAACATCGCGCATTACGACTATCGCAAGTATCGAGATGAAGAGAATGTTCAAGATTATCAGGTTGATGTGAACGGCGGCGGCGGCGGCCGCGGTGACGAAGGCTACGATGGTGCGAACGAGGACCGCAACGACCGCGGATTTATTCAGGATGACACCCCAGGGTATCGTTCACCGATAGGCGACCGAGACGATCGAGATTATCGGGGTGACGATCGCTACGATGGAAGGTACGACGGTCGTGATCATCGTCAATATGATGATATCGATGATGGGTACAGCGAGCGTCATGGCCGTCGCAACACGCCTGCACGTGACAGCCGGGCTGGTGCGCGCTACGATGATGACGACGGATACCGAAGTGACGGAGGTTACTATAGCTATAGTGATGAGAGTGAGTACAGTGACTGGTAAATCGAGGGCAGGGCCCAGGTGTGCGCATCTCGTTCAAAGAGACTAGCGTTGGTCGACGGCGGAAGAGCTGTCCGTCTGCACGATATGCGTAAAGGGTTTGGAGGTGCCGAATCATATTGGTCCATAGTGAGATAATTGGATCGGTAATTATTGTAATACAACGCAGATGACCGAAAACCAGTTGATACCTTGGCTTCTTCCACGTGATGTAGGTTGAGGAGGAAGAAGATCGAGAAGGCACTGTCGTGCGACGATGCCGAAGCAAAGGCCACCCCGCTTACGTAATATCGCGCCAAGCGTCATTCACCCGCCATGCATCCTCGCCTGCCTTACCTCTTTTCATCTACAATGAGAACGAATAGAGTGCATCTACAATTGTCACGTCTTCATCTCCAAACGCCACGTCTACAATGCGCGATACCTACATGGATCCAGCATGCCACTATCTATACACATGGCACGCCCCGTGATTGTTGCTCTACCGCGACGGTCTGAAAACGAATGAACCACTTGTCTCCACCCACCTACCTGCATGAAGTCTAAATCCTCAGCGGATGATGGCACTTCAGTCTGGTGCGGTCAGCCTTCCAGGCCTTCTCCGCTTATTACTGGAAGGCGATCCTTCGGAGCTACTTTTCCTCTTCTCTCCAGACATGGCTTCACCGGCACTGGAAGTATCGGCCGCCTTCCTAGGATCGACAACTGATTTGGACGTTTTCGGCCGTGCTTTGAAGAAATAAGCAATCGACTTCTTGCCTCCGCGTGGCGAAACTCTGACAGGGGGATTGGGCTTGACTGTTTCTTTGTTATCGTTCGCATCTGGTACCTTTTCCGGTGGTCGCGAAAACTTGATACCATCCGAGGGCTTCCAAAGATTGACTTCTGGGCCATCGTCTTCTCTGACTCTCGAATCTGGGTTGGGCCCCGAGCCTGGCTTCAGCTCCTTGTCGGCATTTACACCAGTGTCAATTCCTTGAACTACGGAGGATGCAGTCCTTGCGTCTGAACGCTGCCCCTGTAAGCGCTCACGTGTTGCGCGCGTTAGTTTGCCAGCGTCACCTTTCACCACGGCGTCTTTCGACAGGTCTCGGGATGCATCAGTGTCTATAGAACTTTCCGTACGACCTGCCGAACTGGCCGAGCTCAAACGATCCGGACTGTCTTCGACAATAACCTGCTGCGGTAATGGATCCGCAGTAGTCAACGTGCGCCAAGCTCTTATACGGCTGTCGAGCTTGTGTTGCTCGTCTCCAGTGGCCCTGCGGTTCACAGCATCTTTCTCCATGATGATACCGGTATCACAGCTCTGCAGATCGATAGACTCTACGAAATCAATGCAATTCTCGGGAATTCCGAGTTTGCGAGCTTGCTCATGAGCAGCTAGGTAGTCGGTTCTAGCGGCCTGCAAGCTTTTCTTGTCAAGTATCACGTCTCTGAGAAATGCTTTGTTGAACTCTTCCCTGATGCTGTTGGAGGACCTCGAACCATGTTTTACGGCTTTGAGGTATCTGGCTCCTTCTCGATCGTAATTATGGCAATAGTTCTCGCATCGATCCCGGGCCCGGATAAGATCCTTATGACGACGGGAAAGTCTCGCTATAGCACTGAGAACTTCACTATGCAGATCAACAAGTTTTCTCTTATCAAAAGGCGTCTTTGCTTCTGCTCGAAGAGCACTAGGCCGATCATTGCGCTGTTCCGGCCTCTCTTCCCCAACCTCCCGTCGGCTTATTCGGCCTGCCATCTCCTCCCGATTATCCTGGTTCTGACGAGATGAGCTTTGGGTTCTTTGCCTCGGTAGTGCTCGGGCTATCTTTCGTAGAGGCATATGTGCATCTGCCCACACTTGCTTCAACAACTTCTCTACGTCCTGCCAGCGAGCTTTTAATCCAAAATCATTACTGCTCCACTGACCCTCTATTAGCCTCATCGTTTCTTCGGCGATGTTCCGAGCCTCGATTGCGCGTCGACGATGTGATTCCAAATCTCTGTACTCAGCCTGGTCCTCATCTTCAACTTGTCCTTCTCTTCTCAAATTGGCAAGGCGCCTTTCGATTTTAGCCACAGCTTCGGTGTGATCGACTTCTAATATCTTGGCTCGCTCATGTCGTTCCTGCCCTGCCAGGTAGGTCTTATGGCATATCTCAGCGAATTGAAGCGCGCGTTCTAGCGACGTTGCAAGCTCAGGTGACAGTCGGATAGCCAATTTCGATTCTTCCCCCTCTTTGATCGCTATAATAGCGGCGGGCCTACTGGAAATGAGTCTCTCTGGGTCATAATCACCCTTTAGCTGCCAGGGGCTTGCCTCAGCTTGAAGTGGTGAGGCGTTGTCACCAGTTTGGGGTCTTCCAGCAGCGCTTGATGGTGGTTCGCCACCTCTGGCTCTCGAACTCACACTCGTGTTGCTATCGCCTCCATATCTGAGACCTGATCTCCGTGGGCTTGAAGCAGTTGGGTTGTGCCGTACCCGCGATTTGTCACTATTGTAATAGTGATTGGTTATGTTATAGACGTTCATTCTGCGTCTGGATTTGTATATATCGCCCTTTTCTCTCCTTCCGGCGGGATGGAAGTCGGCGGTTGAGTTTTTCTTTTGGCCATGACGCGAACTGGTCCTAGCCATGGCTAACGTAATGTGTGTGTTCAATGATTGAGTGGCTGGGACGATCTTTTGAGACACCTGAAGGCTTATGACGAGGGGAAGGTGTCAGGATGACAGTAGAGTGAGGCCTGCTAACATATCTACAGACAACACTGGACTTGCCGAACGAACAAAGGGCCATTTCTTTGTTGAATTCTCCAAAATCGTCCACACAGCCGGGACCACTAACAGAGTCATTGTTAAAAATTCAGTCATGACGATGCTTGGCTACGATTTACTAAACTGTTGACTTCAGGAAGTGGTTGCTTTCACGGTAGTCTGTGAATAGAGATGCAACACGAAATACGGGTACAACGAGATATATGGTCTGCCATGGAGACCTCGGCCCATGTTGCGATGTAATCGTACGTATCAGTTAACATGTTCGGCAGAGTCTTCTCATCGCGTTCATGTCTTCCTGCGCGCGCCCTGGCTAGATCTTTCACTGCCTGTCCGCTAGCGTGGACCGAGCCTTTCGGGTCATAAGTGGTCGTGCACCGGCTGATAGACTCTGCACCCACCAACGCCTAAGATCAATTGCAAATTGCTAACGGAAGCTTCTCGGCGCGGATACTGCGTCTCCAGAGCGATGCTCAGTGGTAAGTAGCTCACTTCGCTGCAAGCGGCTGTTGCTTTCTTCACATGCTGATGTCCGTATCATCGGCGTAGACGAACCGCATCGACCAGGAGCTATGGCTGACTCCGCTGGTTCTGGTATCTCGCACGTCGCAGATAGTCCCAAACGCGACGCCTTACGGCAGCCCGCACCGCCACGGCAGCGAGATCGCGAGGCACTGTCGACTCCGAACGGAACTCTACCGACCAGTCCATCACGCGACATTCCCGATTCGGCAAAGAAGATAGTAGGCGTCGTTGAGTTCATCGGAGCTACTGGCGCGCGGCCTGCGGCTTCCGCGAAGTGGACGAACGACCAACTTTTCTACGACGACGAAGGCGGAGATATCGGGCTGCCATACGACGAAGATGCTGGTCTGATTAGCAATGATCACGTTAATACATATAGCGACAACGATACATTCGCGTATTCGACTAACGACACGAGAACCGCATGTGGGGCAGCCACGAAGACAGTACCACGTTCCTACGTGGTGGAGGATTACATGTGGGAGGTCAACCCCCCAATGTCTGCACAAAATCGTCGAAACGTTCGCCCTGGGGACATCATCTTGGCACCCGACCCACAACAAGCATATAATCCACGATGCCCAAGCGGTATACCGACACACGATGGTCTGGTGTCTAGCAAGCTTCGTCCCATGACCGTCATGAAAACTCACGAAGACGAAGACAATCTACCAGAATTTGCGACTTGTCTACGCCATTATACGTGGCAAAAGAAAGGTCCCTCTAATTTGATGTCAGTATCCGAACTCAACAAGCTGTTCAAATTGCTCGAACGCGGTAGTTACGAGGAAACAAGTCTCACCGGGAACCGGCCTGTCTATGGATCGTTGTTTAATAGTACCATCGACCCTCAAGCTTACATCCATGGTGATGAGTTGGTGCTAGTACGTCTGACAAACAAAGTTCGCGTCATTGGCGAAATCAACATTTTCGATTGGGCGAGGCTAGACGTCTTCTCCAAACAGCAAGGTGAGCGCTCAGTAGACGCAGTATATGCCCAATACCCGGGACTACGTGAGCAGGCTGAACAGAAAGTCCGCGAGGCTTTCATTCGCGCTCGCGAGCTTCAGGGTGATCATCACAACACTCGAGCTGCTCACAGCCGGGAAAGCCCTGAAGGTATGAACATAATACTCCAACAGAAAGCCATCAGCGACGGGCTATGTGTAAGCTGTACTAACTATTGGAAATTCCAGATCACCGTCGGTTGAATCATACGCCATCATCTGACAGGCGCCGTCGCCATGATACTCGAAGCCGGTCTCCCTCCCCATATCGACACCCGTCCAACCGCCCAGAGCACACAACACGCATGCGATCGCCACGTGCAGGATATCGCGACGACCAGAACTGGGAGGCCAAGCAAGACTATCGTTATGAGAGCTCTCGTGAACGATCGACCTACCATATCCAGGGACCTACCGTCACTGATCCCTATGTCCAGTCGCAGGGAAACACCACACTCGCAACTTCTAGACAAGGTACAACCAGCCGCCAGAGTCGTAGTCGAGATTCAGAGTGTGTAGACCGGGGCTTTGAATCGAGGCCACGGGACCCGCGAACTGAACGTGGGGATGGACGAGATCGGCGTTCGCGAAAGGAGAAGAGGCGCAAAGGTAGTCGTCGGCGCTAGGGAAATGGTTTGCAAGGAAAACTGAAGCGGCCGTAAAGAGGCTTTGATGATGGGTACAACATGCTGACGATTTGATGGACACGATCTGACTAGTTAATTTTGATGCGAGATATGGGTGTTTCATTGGTATACGCTCCACTACGGAGTGTTGGCGCGAAATATGGGGCTTTTCACGGGCATGTGGCTCAATGTTCAGCGATAGTCTGAGCATCTTGTGTTTGACGGAGTATCTGGCAGATTTGCGATACATCATGATAAAAATGGGAACAACGAAATTCATTGTCTGTACATCTGCAACGAGGCTAAGCCTACCGAGACGTCTTCTTCTACCTAGTTATACCCTCGTTCTTTGAGAATTAGCTACCACTACTACATCGATCAAGGTATCGCGCACGCGGAACAGGACCTTTCTAATCCCAAAAGCGCTCCACAATCTCTCTAGGCAGTGCGCCAATCCTCTCCTTCGCCTCGTACACCTTTATATCGTCACTGCCCATCGCTACAAAAACTGCGGACTGATGCTCAGTATCCTCCCCGACGGTCTTCCGCAACAGCTGGAGTAGTGTCACAACCTTCTGTAGCGCGTCTTGGTTGCCTTTCTCCCACTTCTCAAAACCTTTGAAGCTGTCTGACTTGCTCCCAGTTTGAGTGACTTCCTTTATCCGGATGTCCTTCCGTCTATATGTTCCGTCAAACTGAGCGTTGTGCTTCCCGCCCAGGCAGCAAGTAGGGGTTCTGCCAAACCACATCTGATCGATTGGGCGTGAACTTGCATTGCTCTTTAGCTCCAGGATCTGGTGTTGTGGCACCACCTTACCCTGGACAACGACAAGTGTCTTCTGTGAGCCTTCGTGCTGGGTAGTTTCAACGTCGTGCTCACCAGGGACAAAGCTAGGAAGAGTACTCGGTGGTGCATCGGGGTCTCGGGGAGACTCGATCGTGGGATCGTATGCGTCAGCCTCATGGCGTACGACTATGGTGAGGCTACCAAGCTTGTATTTGATAAAGCGATGGTGGCTTGTTGCGCCATCAATCTCGGAGTCTGTGAGGGCGCTTTCGAAGTTACGACCGTAGGTATTGGCAGCGGACCTGACTTTTGCGTTGCGCACTTTCCTTCCGACGAAGAGAGTGTTCTTCTCGAAGTCGAGATCAAGATGAAACGCTTGGAAGGAAGCGTTCCTAACGCACTTCATCAGATTCAACATCGTGGTGCGGTTGATCACGATGTCTACGTCGTTGAAGCGGGTGTCAGGGTTCATCGTCGCGATGGCCTGGAAAGCGGGCTCGTATTGTTGTTGCGGAGCACGTTCTGCATGCTCGTCGCTAAAATGGTAGCCGGAGTCGGGCGCAATCCGGAGAGGAAAGTCTCGAGGGCTTGGCCTCTTGAACGTTGGCGGCGATCCAGGGACAGAGATCGTGGACTTTGCTTCGTCCATGAAGCTGTAGCTGCAGAGAAGTGCGTACCCCTCAGCCGAGGAGACCTCGTCTGAGCTGGGATAGATATCCTCGTAGGTGCCCTGCCAGACGATCTTGTCTGCGTTGACGTTGGCATACATGTGGGAGTGCCATTCTTCGCCCTTGGGCCTCGAGAATGTCTTGAGGTTCAAGTCTATGTACACGCGTTTGCCGCTAGTCCTATCTATATAGTGCGTTCCATGGATCGTTGATGTTGAGAATACAGGGTTTGATGAAGCTCGAGGTCGTCCAAAAACAGCTGGCCGGGCGGCTGTGTCCATATCTTTGAGGAAAGCGCTTTGGTCCATCTCTCGGTTGGGGTCGATCGAAGTATTTAGGCGAGCAGTGGGCTTACTTTCCAGAGTTTGAGTGCCCAGATAGATGAGAAGAAATCTGGTAGTATATAAAGACCACGCGCGAGGATTTAGCGCCTAGGCACCAGAAACGCTGAGTGTCCATCGAGTTGGCACGGACACATAGAGTGAATGCCGGACCCATTTGGACCTCGGGAGGCTCTCTACCTGGATTAGTTCGCAGGAAATAACGCAAGAGACCCGTAATAAGTGTTTTCAGATGACCAAGCGATTGCGAAGGCTGTCGTGGCTATACGTTAGCAAGCAATTAGACTTAAGATCATTGCGAAGTGCTCGGAGATGTTGCAACAGATAACCCGAAGATGTCTGGACGCGTCGTGAAACACCACTAACGTCTTGAGTAGCAGCTAGTTAGCCCTGTTTTGGTCGCTATAATCGGCGCCTAGAAGTCTTGAAGAAGTCTGTGACTGAACGTCGCTCATACTTGGCAACGACGTCGTGCCTTTGATCGCGGTCCATGTTAGCAAAGCGTTGTAGGTCAGTTTGTCGTTGTGATCTTTCAGGATGTCGGTCTTCTTTTGATCGTGAAGCTTGTCTAAGTCTATTATCTCGAGTTTTTATCGAGATTTGTGACACCGTTGGACTGTTTTTGGTGCGATTCCGTCTCCTTGTCTTGTGAACTCTGCCGTTCTTGTTATCACTGTCGATAACCAGTTCATCTTTGGTTCTTTTGTGTTGAACAATTGGATCGTTTTGCTCCGAATGAGGTTCAGTCGGCGCCTTGCTTTTGCTCTCCCATGGTTGAACCAACTCTGCAAAATTTCTTTCTTCGATTGGGTAAAGGGGCGTTTCAGCTGGAGCGCAGTTCAAGTTCCGTCGTCTCCAAGCCTCCAGTACGTTCATGGGCACTTCCTTCAAAAACATCGCATCTTCTTCGTCAAGTAACAGCGTTTTAGTACTTTCCAGCTCCTCGCCACAATCAAAGTCTAACTCCACATCGGGAATCTTCTCACGCCAGGCTCGACCCACCGCTCGGCGATAAGCAATTCTGGCTTCTTCCAGCTATACCTTCTCGTCGCGTAACATATCCAGAATCGCTGGCTTCACTACGCCGTCTCTAAATTCTGCAACAACACCATCCTCCCATTGTGCCCAGCTCGAATAGTGGTGACACATATGCTCAAACCGAGTACGCATCTTACGCAAGGCGTCGGCAGACTCTTTAACGTCATCGCGAAGACGACGAAGGCTTGTGGGTGGATCACAGTCGATTCGTCGGGTTATGCCTCTCTTATCGCTTTTGGGGAGCCTTGTGTCATCGATTGGATGAGAAGGTATGATTCCCGCTCGCAGCCAGGCTGGTAACAGTGACGCTCCAACGTCTTCCCATGCGTCTCTGCAAGCTTGCTCAGCCAAGTTGCAATCTCCCCATAACTGAGTTTCTGCATCTAACAGTCGAATTAGATCTACGCGGGTAAGATAAGCTCGGGTAACAAGCGTTCTCCGTTCCTCGAATTGCTCTGACGTGGGTGCATTCGATAATGCTTGCATCGCCGTATCGAATTTCGCTAGTTCTTCATCAGATCGATCCGCATCCTTCGCCGCTCGTACCTTCTTCTCTCCTGTCTCAGCTCCATTCTCATCGATTCTTGTCCAAAGACCTTTGTAGTGGCGTTCTGCGCGAAATGCTTTACTAATGCACTCCTCTAACTCTTGCGACACTGTGATTGCGGGCGTGATATTCTGGCCATCGTTAATGGATACTGGGCGAGGTTTGCTCGAGGGAAACAGCCTGGCTGCGTCTCGTTCGCCTTTTGTCGTCCAATCCTGGACGGCGAATAGGGTACCGGTTTCTACCGCTCTCTTCCCGCGTTCCTTCGCAGCATCATTTCCACCGCACCCTGTAGCTCTTGCGTCTAGTTCATCACGTAATATATTGTCTCTCGAACTGGGACGGAAAGCTTCGACGGGACTCTTAGTGACTGCTTGATGAAATTGCTGAGCTGGCACAGTTGTCAAAAGTCTACCGCCCTGCGTACCAATATCTCCGTGAGTGCTGGCTCGCTCCAGATTGATGCCTTCTTGTGCCAGTGCCAGTTGCGGTATTATGGTAATGATGATGATGCGTATTGTAGATGATGATGCCATGTTTTGCGACATAGCTGTGAATTTGCTCGCCAGTTGGAATGGGCTGTTCAGATGCGGCTGACGTACGGTTCTCCATGCCGCATGTATACCCTGCCACTCGATGAAGTAAAACCCAGAACGAATTTCGTCCAGTGTCGCATGTTCTAGACATGTAGCCAACAAGGACTGGATACATGGCCCGATACAAACACACAATACTGCTCTTGATGTCTTTGTCCGCTCAATCCTCTTTGTCTATGTAGGCATAGTGACGCCACTTTGACACCAAATCTGCGAAGAAGCCTACGTCAATTAGGCCGGCTCAGTCTGTTAAGCATGTAATTTGAGATGCAATGGCTTTACATATCTTGTCTATTGCATGGCCGAGTTAATGTTCCCAGGGCGGCATTCTGTGTCTGTGCATGGGACAACACCACAACCACGTCGGCGCAGTAGATCCCCAAGTGCAGAGCTGCAAACATTTCGTGAGCGCGATGACCGTCATGAAGGCAGTGACCAGCCACGCTATCAACCTCGCACCTATGAGGACGAGCGTACCAGACGTGCGCAAGGAGGTGAATGGCCAGACAGCCGTGACAGAGGGGAGCGTCACACGGTACGGGAGTGAAGATATGGCGAACGGGACCATCGATCTGACCGTGATACGGACCCTATGCCGGGGAGGAAGAGGAGGAGGAAGAGGAGGAGGAAGAGGGGATGAGCTCACTACCGCCAATACGTCGTAAAGGACCTGACGTGTGCCCGTGCCATCGAAAACGAGTAGATGCATAAGATACGCGTCGGATTGCGCGACGGATCTCTTGGGTCGTCCGAATGTCAAATACGTAAAACTAGTTCTTCTCAGTTTTCTATTGTCCTCATTTACTGGGGGTAACAAAGCGGTTTTGAATGGAGGCGTTGCACTGAGATGAAGCACGAACAAAGGATGGCGACGCGACGCGTCACAGTTTGAAGACCGCGCTATCCTCGAAACGCGATGCTATGCCGACCTCGGGAGACTGTGGAGCTTTGCCGTTTACGGCCAAGCGTTGGCGCATGGGCCATTTCCCCGAGGCCGCAGGTTGACTGTGTGAACTTTTGAGCGTCAAGCCTCCATCACGCTCAGACTCTGCCTTTTGCCGCAGCCCATCTCCGAACAATCACATGCTATACGGAAGGTATACGTTTACATTTCCGTATGCTGTATCTAAGTATGGACAGCGCTACGAGCATCGCTCGTGCCGACCGCAGCCCCTAATGCAGGAGTCGCCTTAGAAATGCTTGTTCATCGCGGCTCACCATAACAAGAGACCTGCAAATTGTTGCTGTGTCTTACATTGTTCTGCTAATGGAAGATTAGATCACCTATGTGTCGTAGGCTACAAGGCATCTGTAAAACCAAGCAAAGAGCTGCCTTGTATACGCCCATCATGGCATCGGCATCGATCGATCCCGACTCGTTCCCCAGATGTTCACACGCATGCGTCCCTTCCTCCAATCCTACCGAACCCCAAGCTGGCCAAAGCGAGTTCTCGCGCGTGACAGGCCCACGATTGTACCGAACGCTCGCGATCGATATCGACGTCACCTATACATCCTCATACCACCCAGACCAACCTTGTGTCGCGGCAATATGATGCCCACAAGCGTTTGTTGGTTTCGCACACTACTAGCCCGCTTCCTCTTGCTCGTCGCCATTTGATGCAAGCAGCTCTTCGTACTCCCATACTCCCATCGCTCTACCCTCTATCTCTCGTTCGCTACAAATGCTTCCACCTGGGGCCCATCAGGCCCATATCCCTGTGCTTCACCGCCACTTGGGGAAGCAGCAAAGTCGTTATGCGGCGATGGCCTGACACTTTAACAAGTCCACGACCGTGCTCAGCATTCTGGCTCCTGACCGGGTTGTTCGGATCGACATTACGATGCTCAACAATCACCACCGCGGACGTAGCTACCCCACTTGTCGATGCGTCTCCGCCTGCTTCCGTAGGCACGCTCGCTACCGGTTATAAGGACGTCGCGCTGGTCGAGCGAATTGTCCCTGTCTCTCTTTCTGGAGATCGGAGGCGGCGGGATGTTATACTTCTTCATATATCCCTTCAGGTCTGTTTCCAACTGCGAGTCCATGTCCTCGCCATTCTGCCTCTTCTTTGGCTCCAGAATGATAGTATGCTCTGTCCTTCCCTTGCTCGTCGATGGCTCTTCAGGACCCTGGTCAATGTTCTGCCCACCAGGGTTTGACTTGCCTGTCACCTGGTTGGCTATGGGGCTTGGCAAGATGTTCGCAGCTTGCGAAACCACTCGTCGTGGTAGGTCTATCGCCTCTGCCATACGATCCTCGGCACTTACGCCTGCAAAATCTTCAGGGGGAACAGAGCTTGCATGTACCGCTGAAGTTCGCTTGTTGGCTTCATCAGCTTTTGTCCCAGTAGCTGCGCTTGCCCGTCCGGGCTTGTGTGCTTGCGTACTGGTCAGCTCACTGGCGCGATCCAGAGCCCCTGTTACTTCAGCGAGAAGTTGTTCTATCTTTTGCAAGGGTGTGGCTTTCATGTTTGAGACATGGAGAGCTGGTAATGCCGCCATACCTTCAGACCCAACGACTGGCTGCCTTTCTGAGGGGTTCACAGGTGCGCCGCCCGGACTATCGATCGCAGGCTCTGCCGTCTTCTTCTCAGGCTGGACATCTTTGCTCTGCTGTTCGAGCTCCGCCTCATCTTTTCCAGCAGGGTGTGTTGGTCCTAAGTCACCGAGAACAACGTCGTTCTGCCACCTTTCGATTCTATTCCGATCGAGTTGCTTCAGCGACATCTTGTCCCACCACTCTATATCATATGCAAGGGTTCGCTCTCCGTCGTCCATACTGTCTGCCACGGTGACATTCGCAGCTCGTGCCCTGTCGTACGCATCCTGTGCAGCCTTCTCGGCCTCCTCTAGCGTTACGATGACGTCGTGCCAGCCTTCAAGCCACTTATGACTAAATTCGATGCGAAAGTCAACATTCGGACGATTGACCTGCTTGGCGATATACTCCTTAAGACCTTTTTCGTATCCTTGCCGATATTCGTCGTGCTTTTCGCGAGCTACTTGCATGGCGGCTTTGGTGAACCTGTTGCGCATAGCAAGACCGAGGCGTGGAGCTTCATCAGATGGCTGCATACTGGTCGGTCCTATTCCCTGTATCTGCGGTACAGGATCTGGGGTGACAACATCCTTGTCGCCGTTCAGACTCTGGTCCCATGGCAGACTCTCTAGCTCTGTTGTCTCAGAAATGAGCTTACGTTTCACGAAAACATCCTCATGGATAGCCTCTACCTCTTTTACACGTTCGAGCCACGTGTTCTGTAATCCTTGCAGATATTGTGGCAATTGCTCCCGTTCTTTCTTCATCGCTGCGCGCTGGTGCCCTGGTTCGTTGCACCGCGCTACCATCGCATGGGCCTTGGTTGACTCCTCTGGCGTGAGCTCCCGCTCTCCGAAATCACTGAGATATTTTTCCAGCTCTTCCTTGGCGCGGATCTGTTCCGCATATATGCGAGCGTCTGCTGCAATTAAGTCATTGGTCCGCCTGTCGACCGCCTCGCGTGTAGCTCGGAATTTGCGGCCAGCCTCGATCTGCGTTATCATCTTCCGAGAAAGCTCGTGCGAGAGCTGTAACGCAAGAGTACCTCCTTCTCCACCTGTGCTGGTGATTCGTATGATGCGAGCAGGTCCATGAGTATACATGCGATCATCATCAACTTTTCTTAGTAATGTCTGCGCCTGATATATCCCTGATTGTTCGATGAGGTCACTCTTGTCAAGCTTTCCCGGTGTACCCCCCTTCGATTCCACTGCGAGATTGTTCGAAGCTATCGCGGAGGACGTAGGATCAGGCGGACGCCAAGCGCAGCGATTCTCTCCATTCCCAAGCGTCGAAGAAGGACGCGTCTCGTCACGGATAAGTTCTGCAGCTTCTAACCTCGTTGAGGGCAGGGTTGGAGGGACCTTGCTCTTTCTTCGCCACATCGCACCTTTCGCATCGTCTTTCTTTTCGTGATGAACACTCATTCTTTGATCACCCACCGTACTTCCTAGGGCTTCAGGATTATGTGTAATGTCGTTTACGTTGAGTTGGCCACTAGCATTGATAGGGGTGCTGTTGTCGACTACCTTTTGTCGCTTGCCGCTATGGGCGTCCGAGGCAGGATGTCTCGCAATGAGACAGTCTTTGCTTGTGCGGAGGCTCTGTTTTTCCAGATTATCGTCGGGTTCCAGATCAACGCTTGTCCCTGGCGCCCGTTGCTGTCTCAAAGGCTTGGGCAGGTTGCTGCCATCGCCCATGATAGAATTCGGTACGTCTGCGTGGCCATTTTGATCCATGGCGTGGATGTTTCATTTGTGATTGAGATGTCAGCCTTTGTACAGCCTTAGTAAATCTACGCGATCTCGCGATCCGGCGATGGCCCGAGCGCTAAAATTGTGTCCTTTGTTTGTATGTCAAGATGAAGGGTATGAGACGCACAAAGTAGATCGAGGTCAGAGAACACAGCCAGAATAATACTTCTTTCAGGTATAGGCAGCGCTATATCAATTGTAAGTTACCGTAGTGATTAGCGCAGTAGTGCAATGAGCCTTGCCATAGCACTGACGATGGATTCAGGTAACATTGCAATCACGATGAGCCTCAGGTGGCAAGCTAAATTATTAGCCTTATTAGAAGTACAGGAGAACTTACGTTCTATGATCTTAAGAGGCTGACGTGCGCTGAGACACCTCTGCGAAATCGAAGCTTGTCACGACATAGGTTCCAGCCGCTCTATCTCCCACGAAGTCAGCATGCCATAGCACTAGAGTGGCTACAATCCCTGTCTCGCTCTGCGAGAAACCGGTCAAAGTAGATGTATACACTGTCTTTGAGGTGACTTTCCGATCAACTTTTCGTAGCATGTACACGGTAAGATGCGACACGTGTTCTAGCTATCTCTAGTAGACAGGATTCAGTCGCTTTTAGAATAGTCTACAACATGTGTAGAGAGTAAAAATGCGGCTTTTAGACCCCTGCAGTGAATGAGCGAGGTCATACAGACTGTATGCACTCTTTCCCAATGTGCTACTAGCTCTCCGAGCTCAGACCATTCTCTTCCTCCTCTCCCTTCCCAGGCATTAAACCCTTCCTTTGGCTCAATACCACACACAAATCCCTCAACCCAATTGTTAACCTTTTCTCTCACTCCGTCTCCACACTCGTGCATTCACGGGGACCGTAGGGTGTGTCCAGAAAACCGCTTTACGTCTGTGCAGGCCTGGGTACGCTCCAATCATAGCAGGGCACAGTGAAAAGGATGAACTAGGTAAATCTATGAACAGACTAATCTGGTGCGATCCGCTAATGTTGGCAGATACCACAACTCCGAGTACCGCCCAAGCGGATCAGAGCGCCATGTCCTCATCTTCCAATTCGTCCTCCCAGAAACCACCACCAAGCCCCTCTCACGTCTCCGATTCTTCCACGATCAGTAATGCTGCTGTCAACTTCAACGGGTCACATGACGCTAAGTTTAGCAATGTTAGCATCAATCATGCCGAAGTGGATGTTACTATACCCCCAACTGCACCATCTGCCGCAGAAGTTCCAGCTATTCCTTCGGGGGCTACAGAGAGCGTGGAATTCCTCGAGCAACAGCTCGTGGACGCTCCGGACAGCAACATCGTTACAAACGCATCCCCAGCAGGAGCAGCATCCATTCCATTGCCAGCTACAAAGAGCATAGAAGCTCTAGAGAAAGAGCTTATAGATGCCATACGAGCAGCCAAGGCCGATCCTACATTCCCGTGGTCAATCCAGGATGTTGCGCCCGGTGCTTCGATTCGAGGCTTGAAGCTCATTACTCGGATAATGGAGCGAATTGCACAGCCAATAGACCCGAACGGATTGAATGAAGGAGATTTTGTATGGAACGTAGTAGTTGAACCTACTACTGATCGAGACGTCCTCCAGCGTTCTCGAGGCAACATTCTACATACAGACTACGGAGTCTTTGTTATCAAGCTACGACCGGGGATTATTGTCAAACAGAAGGCTCAACACTGCAATGTCGCCGAGATAGGCCGCCGTGGCGATAGAGTGCTAGATGGACTATCACCAATGGATCTCATAGAGCGTATGGGAGTCTTGCCACTTGATGTTGGTCGGTTCAGTCGTGCGGCTCTTTCGGAAGACGATGAACTCTTTCGCCTGATCTATGAACCCTTGAGGATTGCGGAACACTCTGGGCCTGGCAAACGTTTGAGTCAATGTTCTGTCGTCCAGATCGATCGGCAGCATCCTTGCGACTACAACGACCTCTTGGTTCGCGGGGGTAGGCTAGCGACGGAATCCTTCTCAAGACTTCGTGCTACGATCGACATCGCAGACCAGCTAGGGATTGAACTCTTGGGAATGACTACCGAGGCACGTTTTCGTGACCTAAAGACCAAGCCAATAAACCGCCGACCACGAGAGGTTTTATCTGGCTTCAGGCTTAGATCATATGAAAACTCCATGGACCTTCTGGAAGTGCTCAGGCGCAGAGCTGAAGAATACGTGGCAAGCCCTGCGAACAATCTGCGTACGCCTGATGGTAGAGGTGATACAGCAGCAAACCTCTTGAACCAAGTCAATGTGGATCCAATGGGGCAACCCGTTCCCAACGATACGATAGCCACGGCTCAAATATCCGGCTCACCGACAGCGACGAGTATGACCAATTTCGTTGGCACAACAAGCATTCATCCTGATCGCCGCGGTGTACAATCGGCTCCCACGCTCATACAAGCGATAGAAAAAGATTCACGAATGGCTTGGGAATATGCGTCTAAGCAACTTGTTGCTCCTCTACTTGCCGCACATGATACCGCATGGATGGGCTGGGAAGAGGTGGTTCGTGACAGGGACATAGCCGGAAACGACTCCGCTTCCAAGAAACGCAAACTGGACGAAGCCCTCAAACTGCACAACGAAGCAAAGACTAAGAGTACGGGTACCATGGATGTGTTCCGGGAAATCAAGCGCTTGAAACGGAGCGAGAGACTTGCATTGTCGCCCGAGGAGGACCTGCGCGATGAGGCTCTACGCCTTTACACCAAGCTCGACAGTGTCACTGCGGAAATGGAAAAGCTGCAAGCGAAATCTACGAAGTTCTTTGACGGAAACTAAAACCTGCTCGCTTATATGATGCGCTGTTCAAGGGATAGGGTGTATGCTCATATCAATGGCGCGGTGTTGTTTTGCACAACAAAGGGATTTGCGCAGGGATTGATGTTGTGAACAATTAGCGGGTTCGCTGGTGCTGGTGCACACGAAGACATAAGCTTGAGATATTTATCTCTCGGGCTGTAATACCTGCAGTATCAGTAACAGGAATCTTATTCGTGTTTCTTTTTCCTTACTATGTGCTTCTTGCCTTCTGTTGAAGGAAGCATGCTATCTACTTAAAGTGTACATCGTTTTAGAAGAGCCTAGGTACTGAGATTTAACGACGAGATATAGCGACGTGCATGTAGTCAAATGCAACGCCAATCCTGCCACTCCTAGCGCTGATATGTATCTTTGATTTCTCCAACGCCTTCCTCCGACGACCGAAATTTCCCCGCTATGCTACCGACGCTTCCCATTCACTATCTGGGTTGATCAGATGTAGTGAATCTCGAGCCCGCACCCCAGATTAGGCTTAGATTCTTCTACTTTTATTCTCATTGGTTCAGTAAGGGTTGCCATGACACACGACATCACGCGGCTCACGCTTGGACGCGATTATAACAGCCTGCTCTGCACCCGCGCTAGCTTTGCTTGCCTTTAGAGCCATCTTACTACAGATACACAAAGGTTTTCAAAGATCAACCTTCATCCATCACGAACGGCCGGTTGTCCACTACTCTCGTGATCGCAGCTACTACCCTACTACTGCAGGAAGAAGCGCTTCTCGAACACGCGCAATCTACATAGGTATCAATAACTACCATCTTTCGGCGCCCCAACATGACTACCCAGTCTGCACTCGACCACAGTAGGACTATCCATCCAACTATCGAGAATATATAAGCTGATCTTTCAGGCGATCCTACTACTCACCGACGAATCGCCGCTGATCCTCCAACATCGCGTGATCATAACGAGACGCCTGTCACTTCAGACCCCGAGTCTCAACGGGGCATCATGACCAGCTCTCCTCGCGCTGATCAGGGTGAAAGGGATCTCGCAGAGTTTCGAGCGCTCGTAGAGGAGAACCGTCGAGTTATCGCGTCAGTAAATACAGGGAGCTCAAGTACAAGCGCCTCACCTCCATATTCCGGTGTGATCTTCGGCTTCTCCCCAACTATACTTAATCGCGGGTGCGCAGATTCACCTTCTCTCATCGCAAAAGAAGCCAAAGACGCGTCTCATCTATCCTGGAAATCTGCGGAAGCTACTAGAGCCCGGAAAGAGAATCTACTCTACAAGGCAGACAAGGAGTATAAGGCTGTCAAAGTTGATCAGATTCCATCCACTGGCGAGCGAAACAGCCTGAAGCGTAAGAGGGATTGTCTCGAGGTGGAACTCAAGGTGGCAATACTCCAGGAGAAGAGCTGTAGAGAGCTCCACAGGAAGCTCGATTATCTCTCCTACCAGGTTCAATCCCAGGGCCCGGGCCAGGATGCGCAATTTCCCTCGGCTTTGACCGGCAAGCTCACCCCGGCCGAGATTAATGCTCGTAGCGACGTCTACCGTCTTGAGAAACGTCGGCGCAGTCAACTCCCTTAGCAGTGATGCTTGTATTGACCGTATCACATGCGTATGTTGGAGATACTGGCTGCATATCCGCTAGATTCTCGGTGCGGCTGCATTCTATGTCCCAGTATTTACTGCGATTGCAGGGCTTCATCACGCGCTCGGAGGATCTGACACCTTTCCAATCTGGTCACGTCAGCTTCCACGGATGCGTACACCTCAAGGGTCTGTTTTGTTTCTTTTTTGTAGTGTTTAGCACAGCTTTGAGCTAATGGGTGGCGCTCGGCTTGCTATCTTCGTCTATCGTCTCGAGACCTCGGACGCACTGTATGTTACACACGGCTTACGTTAGAGCTCACGTCTCTAGCATTTCATAAACTTCCAGCGAAACAAAAAGGTGTGAATAGTTGTAAGGTAGTGCGATGAGGCTTCGCCACAAATGAAACGTGTACTTGAAATTCGATATACCAGGCAATGATCTTTCTGTGCCTTAATCAATCCACTGTACTTTCCGAACTGTCGTATAGCATTGTGTATCTTCACTGTGGCCATCGCACCTTACCCCTTGGTCATAACACCACCGCCATTAGCTCCAATAACCTGACCAGTAACCCATCCAGTCTCAGGCATACACAGTAACCCAACAACCCCAGCGACCTCCTCCAGATACGCCGGTCTTCCACCCAAATCCTTTGCCGCCGCAATCGTCTCCTCCGAATCGATACCTTCTCTCGTCGCAGCCAAAGGCGCCATGTAGTTCAGCGACCAGGCCTTCTCCAACATCTCCTTCGGGAGGCTTGTATACATGCCCGTAGCTATCGCACCTGGATTGATGGCGTTGACTGTGCAGCGTTCGGCAAGCTCGCGAGCCCAGACACGTGTCATTGCTTCAAGAGCGCCTTTAGTGCCAGCGTAGCAAGACTGCCACCAGAAGCCCATCGAGGTTGTTATACTGGAGACGTTGATCACACGACCGGATCTGTCTTTCGGGAAATACGGTAGCGCAGCTTGTAATACGAAAAGTGGAGCGCGTGCATTCAGGTTGAAGGTGGCTTCGAAGTCGGATAGTGCGACTGAGCCCATCGGCGCTGGGTTGACAACTGCCGCATTGTTTATAAGTATGTCGATCTGGAACTTGTTGTTGTCGCTAAAAGCCGATTTCGCCGCATCAATGAGCTGGTCCGGGCCGTCGGGTGTAGTAACATCAACTTTTGCTACTAATGTCTTGATAGAGTGATTGGCTTCCAGCTCTTTAGCTAGAGCGGTTGCATTTTCTGTGGACGACTCCGAAGTGTAGTTGATGACGATGTTTGCTCCCTTGGAAGCCAGATGGCGTGCCAAAGCAGCACCAAGGCCTTTTGAAGCTCAATCAGCGTCCCCGTTTCATTGGGATCATGAAAGGAGGGGCATACATACCGCGCGATGCACCAGTGATGATTGCTAACTTGTTCTCCAAATGTCTCGTCATGGTCGATGTTGGTGCTAAGTTGAGGTAGCACTGCCGCCGCCTAGTTGCCCACTTTAGTCGAACGTAACCTACCTGATACTTTTGTGCTCGCGTATATGCCAACAAATCTTGCATAAACACAAATAGTTTGGCGAATACTTCGTCCTGGGTGCTGCATGTGACAGTGATCCTTCGCGTAGGCGAAAGAACATGGGTATGTCCCGCGGGTGGGGATAGGCTTGGCCAGATCGGCGGAGAAAGAGGGATACATGTCACTGGCCCGCCTCACCTTCTTGATACTTGGGCTATAGAACAGCGGGCCGTTGTGTCTCTCACAAACTGAGTATTTCACGTCCTCCTAGCACTCCTGGTCAAACCTGGATATCACTTCATTTCGACTGGTCTTCCCAACGAGTCATCCATCATGAGGCTGCAAAACCGAGTCGCGATAGTGACGGGCTCGTCCCAAGGTATCGGCCGGGAAATCTGTCATCAGTTCTTTGTTGAGGGAGCCTTGCTCGTATGCTCTGATCTTAGACCTGTTGGAAAGGGCGAAGACACTGCTACACACGAATGGATCATCAGCAAAGGCGGGCGGGCCATGTTCGTTGAGACCGATGTCAGTGTAGCCACCAGCTGGGAGGCACTCGTTGCGCGAGCAGTGGAGGTATATGGTCGACTTGATATGTAAGTATCTTCCAGCTATCATGTATACGATCAAATAGGAGAAGTAACTGATATCGTGGCCCTACAAGAGTGGTCAATAACGCAGGCATCTGCACAGAGGCCAGCAACCCACAACCCATCGATCAAGTCGACGAAGATATGTTTGACGCTCACATGCGCATCAACACACGAGGAGTCTTCCTTGGCTGCAAATATGCCGTTCGTCAGTTCAAGGCACAAGCGCCGCAGCCCAATGGTATGCGCGGCTGGATCGTGAATCTCGCTTCGATGGTATCCAACATCGGTATGCAGGGCCTCAGTAAGTTATTCCACGCGAGAACGTATGATCATTTTGCTTTTGGCGTTGGGCTTACATGTTCCAGCTGGGTATACAGCGTCCAAGGGTGCTGTGGCTTCGATGACGCGAACCATTGCGCTGGATGTTGCGAAAGAAGGCATAGTCGCCAATTGCATTGCTCCTGGATGTAAGTCACCCTTTCCAGTATCGCATGGGCCACTCTAATGTCTTTTGCCAGTTTCGCAAACTGCAATGCTCGAGGATGCGCTTGGTGGGGCCTTGTCGTCCGCAGCGGACGCGGTCAAAGCCTCTATTCCTCGCGGCAAATTCGGCCACCCCCACGATCACGCAAGGGCTGCGGTCTACCTCGCTAGCGACGATGCGCAGTGGGTCACCGGACAGGTGTTGAATGTTGATGGTGGCTTAACAGCACAATGAGTCTTGCAAAATTTGCTGTGCATCGGGTCGCACGTCCAATCAGGTGGTCTTACAGATAGCCTGCAGGTACTGCCTCCGGAAACGTCTGGACTTCTTGTTAGCCCTCAGAATTGAAGTCTGTCTAGAACATGAGAGCTCTCGCATATACTGTAACTCCATACCGGTTGTGGTTGTGCCTGCATGGCATGCAATGTGCCGGCAGCGGGCGAATTTCAAGGATATCGCGTTACAACCCGTTTTGGCCGCTCTTCCGCCTTCCCCGCCCGGGGTATCTGTGCGTCAGGCTCCCCTCTCAAGCTTCCCTCCCAGTATTGACCAGCCACTGCCTTCCATACCCTCTTCTCATCTAGTCACTCGTTTTGCCATCAAAGATTCTCTCGGTTCGTTGACCTCCCGTAGCACATACTGCATCCTTGGCGGGCGTGGCAAGCGACGTGGGGCCGACAGCGGCGCATGGACTCGGAAATATCATGACCATGCCGCATCCTCGCATGTCACATGCGCAAAGCGCGGTTCATTGGTAGCACTGACTGCTCGACCTTGTCACATTCACATCAGGCCCTGTCGTTGGACTTGAACTTCGCTGCAAGGCGCTACTTTAGGAGGAGGATGCAACCTTGGCAGGATCATTGCCTCAGCACGAGGGATTACCAACATTCAGAGGCAAGATCTTGTCTCAGGTTCCGAAGAGAATGTGCGTGAAGCTCAAGATGGTAGCAGTATTGTTCATCTTCCTGGACATCTCTCGTCAAGGGATCCATGAAAGGGGACACTCACGAAGCACGGGTGCTTTCCTTCTCTCAGCACATAAAGTAGTCATGGGGAAGGAGAGGAGACTTCATCGAGCGTTATGCCTAGTCCTACCTCCCCCTCGCTGGCATTGGCCGTCCTTGTTTTGCTTCCTTTCGATATCATCACTTGGGCGCTTCGTTTTCATGTCCGACTTTCTCGAAAAGCATGGGGTCCAGATGACTGGTCTATGGTAGCTGCAATTGTACGAACACGTCGGGTTTTACCAATGTCACATTTGCTTATGAACAACAGCCACTTTTCATCATCTCAACGATGGGTATGCTTGGAATCGCCTTCACAGGAGGTGGAAAGAGGGACGACGAACTTACAGTCAACGAGAAGCAGACAGCTATGTTTGTAAGTCAAGCAGCGTATCCACAAGGTTAATCATGCTCACTATATACAGTGGTGGTCAGTTCTGCCATGTCACAGACTGCAAGCTCGACAATGATTGACTTCGTATAGGTTCATCATGCAAACTATGTTCTGCCTTGCTGCCATCCCCGTCAAATGGGCCATTTGCTTCACCTTACTCCGCATCGCCAATGGCAAAAAGGCATATGAGTGGTCAATATATGCGATTATGGCGGCGGTCGCGTGCGTCATGGCCTCGACGACTATATACGAGTTCTTCCACTGCACACCAATTGCAATGAACTGGAAGGCTGTGGAGGGAGGCACCTGCAAGGCGCAAAGCAACATTACTGGATTCAGCTTTGCGCTCTCTGCGGTTTCAATCTTCTCGGATTGGTTTTGCGCAATCATGTGAGTCTTACCAAAGTATTTGTTTGTGTCTTGACTGATCGTGGCATAGTCCCATTCCACTCCTTTGGCACGTCCAGATCGATCTCCGCGTCAAGATATCCATCATCGCCCTCCTCGGCCTCGGCATATTCGCATCAACAGCAGCCATCGTTCGCCTCACCGTTACACTCAACCTCAGTGCGACAACAGACTTCCTCTACTACGCTATGCCCGTAGCTGCATGGGCGCATGCTGAGCTTGGGCTTGGCGTTGTTCTTGCAAACCTTTCGGCCTTGCGTCCCCTTCTCGAGAAGATGCTCGACCTTGGCTCTACATTGCGCAGCAGCAAGAAGCGTACCGGCGATCAGGCGTCTGGTGATGCATACATGGAGCTTGAGGAGGGTATCGGCAGTAAAAAGGATACAACTTTGTCGAAGAGACTGAGCGGGCGAACAGGAATCAAAGCAGCTGTTGGTGTTGGAGAAGATCTGGATGGTACCTCTTCTCTAGGTGACGATGATAGGTCTACGCGCAACATCATGAGCCGACACGGGCCGCATAACATACAGATAGACCATGAGTATGAGGTCAGCTATGAGAAAACGAAAGGCCATTGAATAAGACTAGCGGCTGGACACATGCAATCAG